TTTATTACGTTGATATGTAATGACTTTTTATGCCCCCCACAATGTGGGAGCATATAGCGTTGCACTTGTCCGTCCGTCCGTCCGTCAGTCCGATCGTCCGTACGTTCGTCCCGAAACTTGTGAACGCAACTCCTCTTAACGGATGGCAGATTTTGCTTAAACTTACAGGGATGAACAACCTTAATGTGTAGATGGTAGTAAAGTAAGGAATTTTCGCTGCGACCAAATTTAACAGAATTATGGCCCTTTGTTGATTTTTTCACTAGATACTATGTAGAAATTTTGTGAACGCAACTCCTCTTAAACCGGATGGCAGATTTTGCTTAAACTTACAGGGATGAACAACCTTAATGTGTAGATGGTAGTAAAGGAAGGAATTTTCGCTGCGACCAAATTTAACAGAATTATGGCCCTTTGTTGATTTTTTCACTATATACTATGTAGAAATTTTGTGAACGCAACTCCTCTTAAACCGGATGGCAGATTTTGCTTAAACTTACAGGGATGAACAACCTTAAGGTGTAGATGGTAGTAAAGGAAGGAATTTTTGCTGCGACCAAATTTTACAGAATTATGGCCCTTTGTTGATTTTTTCACTATATACTATGTAGAAATTTTGTGAATGCAACTCCTCTTAAACCGGATGGCAGATTTTGCTTAAACTTCCAGGGATGAACAACCTTAATGTGTAGATGGCAGTAAAGGAAGGAATTTTTGCTGCAACCAAATTGAACAGAATTATGGCCCTTTGTTGATTTTTTCATTATATACTATGTAGAAATTTTGTGAACGCAACTCCTCTTAAACCGGATGGCAGATTTTGCTTAAACTTACAGGGATTAACAACCTTAATGTGTAGATGGTAGTAAAGGAAGGAATTTTTGCTGCGACTAAATTTAACAGAATTCACAGTAGTCCAAAAAATATTTGACCTAGAGTCATAAGATTGACAGAACAGTGGCGTGTGGGGGCATCCGTGTCCTATGGACACATTTCTAGTTTACAGTTCTTTTTATTGTATTTCAAATTTGAAGCATAAAGCGTATTTTCAAGTGTATTAAATGATGATAATAATAATAATAATAATAATAATAATAATAATAATAATAATAATAATAATAATAATAATAATAATGATAATAATAATAATAATAATAATAATTATACTACTACTAATAATAATAATAATAATGATAATAATTATTGGAATTGTATGGTTTATAGTTTGCGCTATAATATTACGTAAAGATAGATATTCACTTTAAGAAACGAATAAACATTTCATTCTTAGAAAATGCAAACATGAGTTTTATAACATTTAAATAATGGGTTTTACGAGTATTTGCTAGGTACTTTTCACCTGAAGAAATTAGCGCTGAATGTGAAATAATTTGTCATTATAGTAGCAAATTTTAAACAAAGTAGCCATTTGACTTCCATATAAAATACTTTATCAGTAAAACACCGTAATAATTTCTGAAAAGCAATAGAAGCAAAAGAATGTTCTGGCAATTAGCCAATGAATACCTTTTTGAACATAATAATATGAAACTATAAAAATAAAAAGCTTTTGAGAAATAAAATTAAAACCATGTTAAAGCATAATGGATCTTTAAAAAGGAGTAAAAGGAAATCACGTTAGCAATATACATTAAACAAATAATATGTATGCTAAAAATAAAATCATAAATTGAACAGTTCATAAAATGCAAAAAAAAAATAAAGATCAAAACACGCTCATAACAAGCAATATTTCTATATGTAGCATTTTAGTATTTAATGAATATCAAAAACTTAAATTAATGCCAATAAATTTTTATTTAAATATTATTCCAACTTTTTACAAAAATAGAGTTTCTCTTCTGTTCTATAAAATTGTATCAAACTAAAATACCAGTACCTTTTACCTCAAACGGTCTACCTAACAAACACTTTATATTGACTTTTACGGTATGGCATTTTCTTCGCTATCGTATTTTGATGACAGATGAAAGCTTCGTGTAATATCAATTAAAATTACGATAAAGTCATGATATTGAATACCGATATTGAACACTGATATTGAATAGGGGCACAGAGCAATTGTAGGCCAGTATTGCATTGTAATGTATATTGTGTTGTATTGTATTATATTGCATTATATTGTACTGTATTGCATTATAATGCATTGTATTGTATTATATTGTGTATTTGTATTAGAGTACATTGTATTAAATCAAATTCTGTAAGTAATACAGTTGATAACGTGATAGTAATTTGTTTTATTTCACACTATATAGAATGTAAGCAATGAATCTCCAGCATTTGCATCACGCGATACTCCATCCACTCACAAAAAAAACACAAAAAACCCACAAACAAACAAAACAAAACAAACAAAAAAAAAGTTTAACTTTTGCCCCATTTTATGTCTGAAATAGACATTTCCATGTCTTATATCTGGCCAAAACATTTCATCTTTTTAAGGAAAAATACAACAAAATATGACCGTTTTAAAACGGTTGTTTGCAATATAACCCTCGCCGAGCGGTTCGGGTTATAATTATATTTCCAAATATCTTATCTTTATAACTGATAAGATGACAACTTTAAATATATTATATGTAGATCACAATTAGGCTTACGAATTTCGATAGTTATGACGTCTTTCTGAGAAAATGGATAATCGTAATATTTTGTACCATCTGCTTGACCTCTATTATAATTATCACATTGTATTATATTTGAGATTATTGCTTATAAAGTCAATATCAGCTCTTTTTATAAGTCGATCCATCAAATCCTAGCAGCGGTATTTGTAATCTATATTTTCTATTTTCTAATGGCAGGGGCTTTTAATAATTGCAGAGCTACTGGTGCCGTAAATGGAACTTTTACATCCGGTTTGAAATTGATTATCTTGCAAATCAATGATGTTGTTTGAATGCGCTTAGCAAAGTCAATGGTTATTTTGAATAGTGTTGAGCAAAGATCGGTATATCGCACAGAAATATGCTATACATACAAACTTGTGCTTGTTGTTCTATTTGATCGCCACGGGGTTTTGTCAATAGTAAACTTCTAAAACTCTACTGACACTTAGAGAACCTAGCACACCCACAAATGTTGCGTTACGTTGTCAAATTAAAATATCTTCCATTTTCTTATTCTTTTTTTTTCTCTTTTTTTTTCAAAGGTATGTTATTGGTTTTGAAGCAGCTGTATCAGTCGAAATTAGAAAGGTTTTAGAAAGGTTAAAAAGAACAGCTATTTTATCTATATATTTAAATTTGTTTTGAGATACAACATATAATATTATATGCATTAAACGTACAAGAGGTCACAATGACCACAAGTCACCCACCTGAATATCTGACCAATGGTCAGAATATAAACAAGTTTATAAGTATATTAAGATGTATGAGTCAGTTTAAGTGTTATTATTTAAAAGTTAACTATGTTTTAAAGAAGTATATGTATTAGAAAACATATTAAAGTTAAATGTTTATCAGTCAGTGGATGAGCTAGATTTTTTTAATAATGATAGTTTGACAAGTTCGCAACATCTACAATCAATATTGCATTTTCATATGGGAGTTAATATATAAGCAATGATTATGTATATCGGCCTTTACCTTCAGTGCTCGACTAATCATAGGTCGATTTAAAGACCAATTATTCACCAGAAATTATTTTTAATGTATATTTTGGTGTTTTTTTTTGGTGTCCTGTTTACAGTTTCCAAAAGGTTATTTATCGGCCAATAACCTGAATCATATATTGTTTCTATTGTTTTCGGGGGATTAGTATAATTATTGTGTTAAAGTACTTTGTATGGATGTCAAAATACTACTTTTATGACAAATAGTTTCACATTCAACGCTACTTTCTTAAGAAGCAACTAACATGCTCTAAAACCATTATATAAACATTATAAAACTCTTGTTTGTCCTTTAAGAAATTTCCATGTAAATAGGGCATATTAGTATTTCTGTGCTAGAGCAAGCCCTTTTTTTATTTTTTAAACTGTACTCTTTGATCGAATTATAACTACATGTTATTATTTATCAAAATTAAAAATGGCCAGTAATGATTTAATTGTGAATATATTTTTCAACTTGCTAGGCATGTGCCGTGTAAACTTCCTAAAACTATTTCTACATTTTATACATGTTTTATTATTACAATTTACTTTGCCAATCAATCCATACATATGGCGATATTTTAAAAGCGAACTTTTATGCCATTAATGTCACAGCAGTGAAACCAAATATCATTATGTAAATAAGTAACAATCGGTTATGTAATGCATTGAAAGATCAAATGTTATCACAACATCTGTATATATATAGTTACAATACGACTTAGATGTTTGCAAGTATTGTTTGTGCTAAAAATCTTAACATTTCCTTGGACTTTCAAGGATTAGAAGAACATTGAATGATCAAAATTAAAGATATCCGAAATGTCAAACGCATTGTGTGGCATCTTTATATTAAAGATATTGATAATGTTAACTCTTTTGTGTAAAATCGAGTCTAGGAGATATTTTGTTTTGATTTTGGAAGACTTTTTTTGCACGTAATTCCTAAAATACTTCCAAACAAAACCAGCAAAGGTGATTAAACCAGTCATTTATGCAAACGATGAATCATCATCAATCGGCATGCATTTGGTTTATACAGAATTTATTTTAGTTTAATTGTATAGGAAGCTATACGCTTATCGACGCACTTTCGAGTCCGTTCCTGGAACCAACCAGTCCTGAGCAATGAGGGGAAAATTTTTTTGCCAAAGGGAAAGATTGGTTTGCCCCTACGGGTTTACCCACGGGCTAGGATCCTTAGTTTTACTGCCCGAGAGTTAACCATCGCCTGCCGCACCTCAACTTTTTGTATCATGATAGAGTGAAAACAAAATTTATATTAAAATGATGAAATATTTATTTTTAAAAGCCAATCATAAGTTAAGTTCAATTACCTCACAAATCAAATCTCAAGCCGTATTTTCTCTTATTACAGGTCAGGATGATGTTGAAGAAGCCAAAACAAAAGTTCAGAGAAGAAGAAAGATAGAAAAGTAAGTAACACCTTCATTAAAACATTGGAAAGCTAACAGCATTTCATTTATCATTTATGTCATTTATCACACACCTGTGCCGGTTTTGCCACAAAAAACCGCTGTGCATATATTTTGTCGTGACTTTATTAATAAAGCGTTAAGACGCTCTAATTGTTACCGTTACATTATGTGCGCGTCAATGTAAAAGTGATTTTTTTCACTGTAAACATTTCTTAATTTGGATATGTGATAAATGGAATATTAAATTCGTGTAGATTCAATACTAAATTTATTGAACTTGTTGAATAAATCAATATTATGTTCGCCACAGGTTCGTATATGATTGTATTCAACTCGTTAAATAAATTTAGTATTAAACCTACACTTATTTCATATCCTCTGTCAACTTCTTTGAATAGTAATTATAATATTCAATAGAATTCTATAGTTCAAATCCAAAGAGTTAAACATTTTTTTTCTTTGAGCGACTGCTCTTTATTGTTTGTGTTACTTTCTTTCCTTTCTTGGCATTGTTCCTGTTTGACTTTCGTGTTTCGTGTACCATTGTTTTTGCTTCTTAGCATTTTTCTATTTTTGTTGCTTTTATCTTTTTGATTTGAAATATTTTTTTTATACTCATTTTATATTTTTTTGTTAGAAATACAAACTTCATAAACTTTCATACTAAGTTTCTTTAATCATCGAATCAATAAATGGTCGTAGATTCAGTTGGTAAAGGGAAGTGTCACATTGAAGGTTCCATGATAAACGCAGTATGAACAAAAATTTTACCTTTTAATGTTTAAATGTTGAATTCTGCTTAAGCCGGTGCCAGGGGACATGGATGGTAGTTTGCACTTGACAGTACCATCCGTAAACATGCTCAATTAAACCGAGCCTACAAAATGTTCAATATTGGACTTCTTAAGAGATTCTTATTTTCCCTATTTTAGTAATTTGCAACTTGAGTTTTAATTTTTAATATAGTCTCGAAGGGACACTATATATATAATGATCTGGGTCTAAGCGGCTGAATAATTATATTGTCCGCTATGTACGTTTCATTAGCGCATACTTTCTGCTCTTATTTTAGGTTACTGCACCTTTGAATTAAATCGTTCATATATTAAAAAGAGACCGAAAAACACACAGGAAAAGGTCCTACAGTTTTGTTAAATTGGTAAAATGTAAATAATTCTATTGGTTCAAAATTCGTTCACATTAATTACTTAAAATAACGTTATTATAATAAATATTGAATTACGGTAAAACTAATATAGGGATTATTTGAGATATTTGTCAACTCTATTTCACTTTTTTTCTGTTTAGCACCAAAAGAATTCAATTCAATATTTTGAAACGACAGTTTTAATGAGTTGTCCAAACACTATAATTATTACTTCATACGCATTTATTTCTTTTGTTGCAACCGATATAACAGGTTGTGTTTTTGTAATTAATAAAAAAAAAACTAAAAAAAAAACAACATTATAACTATGGTTGAATACCCCTTTCTAGTATAACATCGCCTTGCGGTTTGGTGCAGCAGTAACCGGTTGCTGGCCAGTATATGTTCATCTTGGCTGGTGCTTTTGACGCCTCTGTTATCCTTTCTTCATTGTTTGTTTACAATTGTACATTGTAGTGCTTTTGGCGCCTTTTTTGTTCATTTGTTTTGTAAATATGATGATAGTTGTCTCCTATCTCAACTCTTTGTTATTTTATCCTTTATTAGTCCCCTACCGATTTAACCGGAGGGGACTTTAGGTTTACCCTCCGTCTGTCTGTCCGTCTGTCTGTCGGTCCGTCAGTCCACAAAACTGGATCCCGCGATAACGCAAAAAGTACTGAAAATATTTTAATGAAACTTGATATATAGATAGATGACAGTATGGAGATTATGCACGTCTTTTTCTTTTCATCCTATGTTGAAAATTCCGGTTGCTATGGCAACAAATAGTCTGAAAATATGACAGATTTATCACATAAACTGGATCCAGTGACAACTCAAAAAGTACTGAAAATATTTTTATAAAACTTGAAATATGGGTAGATGGCAGTCTGGAGATTATGCACATCTTTTTCTTTTCTTCCTTTGTTGAAAATTCTGGTTGCTATGGCAACAAATAGCCTGAATTTCAAGATTTCTGATTTAAATTTTTCAGCTTTTTCACTATAAGTTCTTTATTTCTTAAGGTGTTTACTTCAAACTTTAAATATAAGTTTCTGGTCATCAACCACGTCATATGTGACAAGGTTTACAACTCTAGCACAAAAATTATCAGTATTACCTCCCTTGAACTTAGAATTTTTATGAAAAAAATGTTGTCTTTTTTAAATAACTTCTTTATTTCCTAATGTATATACTTCAAACTTCATATATATGTTTCTTATTATCACTCAACATTTTTGAGAAGGTTAAATACTCTAGCAAGACTATTTCCAGAATTATGTCCCCCTTGAACTTAGTATTTTTCGAGAAATTGGTATTTTTCACTCCAACTTCTTCATTCCTTATAGGATTTACTTTAAAATCCAACATCGTAATAATATGAAAAGGTTATATAAACATAATTTCCTTACTAGGCAGGGAAACTTAACACATTACTGTGATATAGACAAACTTAGAACTCAAAAGATTTAAGTTCATTCATGTCATTCATTCACTGGTAAAATTGCATGGCCAATGGCCCATCAGAATGTTGCTGGGGTTCTAACCGGTAGGGGACTTATGGATTGCTTGCAATACTATGATAATTGCTTGTTTTATCCGTTCCAAGACTGTATCAAATGCATTTTAGTGTTTACGGTTTGGAATTAATTTGATATTGTTGCGGTTTGGTTTTTCTGAACATTTTTTTTCTTAGTTGATCTTTGCTTCCAGATTTTAATGATCAAGTACATAACATTCATGGTTTTGATCAGAACTGACCTTAAAACTATCACGGCAATACGAAACTATCTAACTGTACGTTACAATGATGAAAAAAATATGAATGTATTGTTTGTGAAAAACTGCAGGTTTCAGGTTTATTTCAGTCTTCTTAATGGCTGTACTTAACTGTGTTGTCTTGTGCTATTCTGTACTGAACTGCACTGTTACTGTGTTGTTCTGTGATGTTCTTTGTTGGGCCGCTCTGCACTGTATTGTATTGTACTGTAAAATACTGTACTGTGTTGTCCTGTGCTGTTCTTTGTTGTGCTGCATTGCAGTACACGGCTTTGTACTGTACTGAACTGTACTGTTCTGTGGTGCAACTGAGCCAACGGCCTCGGCTCATTAGCACAGGCTGTATATCAAAATGCTTAGACAACAACAAGTATGCAGGTTCATTACAGTAGTCTCGAAGGGATATTATATATTTAATGATCTGGGTCTAAGCGGCTGGATACGTATATTGTCCGATATGTACGCATACTTTGTGCCCTTATTTCAGGATATTGCACCTTAAAACTATATCGTTCATATATTAAAAAAGAAAACAAAAAGAAAACAGACCGAAAAACACAAAAGAAAAGGTCCTACAGTTTTGTTTAATTGGTAAAATGTAAATAATTCTTTTGGTTCCAAATTCGTTCACATTAATTACTTAAAATAACGTTAGCATAATAAATATTGAAGTATGGTTAAACTAATAAAGGGTTAATTTGAGATATTTGTCAACTCTATTTATTTTTTTTCTGTTTAGCACCAAAAGAATTCAATTAAATATTTTGAAACGACAGTTTTAATTAATTGTCCAAACACTCTATTACTTCATATGCGTTTATTTCTTTTGTTGCAACCGGTATAACAGGTTGTGTTTTTTGTAATTGATTAAAAATTAAAAAAAAAACCCATAAAATTATGCATTATATTCCTTTGTGGAATAAGGAAAGTTTCAATCCTTTCTATTAGTTTGCAAACAATCTTACTAATTTTATTACATCGCCTTTTGGTTTGGTGCAGCAGTAACCGGTTTAAGCTGGCCAGTAGTGCCCTCTTGATTTATCTAGCGTGGTGCTTTTGGCGTCTCTATTATTCTTTCTTCATTGTTTGTTTTCAATTGCACATTGTACTGCTTTTGGCGCCTTTTTTGTTCATTTGTTTTGTAAATATGATGATCTCAACTCTTTCTTATTTAAACTGTTATTTTATCAGTTCCAAAACTGTATCAAATGCATATAGTGACGAAAATTAATATAAAGATAATTAAGTTATTTAATGAATAAACATCTTAAACATTCAAAACGTCTCTTGGCTTATAAGTACACAATTGAATTATATTTGATGACCTCTTTAACATATTTTACTGAATGTTTGAACTTATTATTTCATTTATCCAGACCTGTCCATCTTTAAAGCTACTTACCAATACACGAAAATTTACAAATAAAACGTTGCAACCATTTAAAGAAGCTACAGATTTATGCTAAATTTCATTAAAAATTTGAATATGTATTTATAAGTAAATTATTGTGAAGTTAACAAAGAAAATAATTTACAAATTCCAAACGGCACTTAAAATCCATATAAATTATCAAAAAGAGGTCAAAATATGCTGTATAAGGTTTTACTGCGTTAATCATGCAGTTGAATGGTAATAAATATCGCACTTAAATTTTTATATTTTTCTCAAATTTGATTTTCTTGAAATATTTTGGCCCATCAAGAGGCTGGAAGCTTTAAAGTAACACAAAATTAGCATTTGATTATTTTCTTTCTTGCAATATTTCGTATGAATCGTAACACATTTACATTGCTATATAGGCCAACAATTTGTAAGTTTAGAAAATCAACTATAAAACTTATTTATTAGTAGTAAGAATTTACAAAATTGAGTTGGTAGACCTATTCAATGTTGAAAATGCTTACTGATGAACACTAACCAATTCGTGTTTATTAGCAAGCATTTACCAAATAAAGTTGGTAGACCTATTCAATTTTGTAAATACTTACTGATAAACACTAACCAAAACATGTACATAAAAGTGCCGAAAACATTAAAGAAGCTGGTATTTGTAGAAGAAAGACATGTTAAAATCTCGTATCATTACTTTTATGTGAATGCACGAACTCTTTTAATGCATTTTATGATAGTTGACTGCCCAAACTACCGTGTATGGTTAAGTAGTTTTGAAATACTTTGCTCAAATTTGATATTTGAAAATACACATGTATTGTTAATTGCTACAAAGTCTCTTTGCATGTATGAAATAAACATGTTTTGACTTCACGTAAATTTAAAAAACATATTATGTTTTAAACTTTACACACTATAGGTAGAGTATATATCAATAAGAATATAAAAGTGTCATTAAAAAAATTGGCATTTTTCAGCGAATGACCAACTTGAATTGACCCGAAGTAGGGAATGCAGCTTTCCACTTTACTCCATTTAAATAAAACATAATCAGTAAGAATTTTATAGATTTAAATAAGTTTCTGCGATTAAAAACTATACTCAATGACCATAATACTAAGTAAATCTTTAAGAGCGCACCAACCATAAACCATGGTTCTTATATATTTTCTTCAGGACAAACAGGCGGCCAGACGGCACGAAATGCTCGTGCCCAGCATGTATGACTGGAAACAAATGTTCAGAATCAGGTAACTAAACTTATTTTTTACTTTACGATTTGTCTGAATACTTATATAAAGCCTTATCATTGAAACGTGTAATTTAAGTCTGTCACATACATAAGAGTAATGTGCTTTTCCTGAAAGAAAAGAAATAAAATAACAACAGCAAAACAACGACAAGAACAAACAACAAAAGACCCCAAAAAACAACAGAAACAACAGCAACAACAACAAAAAAGTCCTCCACCTAAAAACAACAACAACAACAACAACAGTACTAACAACAACAAAACAACAACAACAACCAAAAACAAAATCAACAACAAAAACACCATAACCACCACCACCACCACCACAACAACAACAAAACAACAACAATAACAAAAACAACAATAAAAACAACAACAACAACAACAAGCAAATTCGTTGAATTTATATCCCCCGCCGAGTACTGGTTATTATTAACACAACAACTGAAGACATAAGGCTTTATTTATGTATTAATCATGGCATAAACTGTAATATTCTTTGAACTTGAAGCCTTGTACCTTCAAACAAGAAGAATTTTTAAGTTTTCACTATATACATATAAGGAAAATCTATGACCCCCTGGCGTGGAGCCAATTTTGACCCCAGGACTAAAATTTGAACAATTTTGGTAGAGGACCTATAGGTTATATCATATACCAAATATCAAAGCTCTAGGCCTTGTACTTTCAGACAAGATTTTTTAATTTTGCATTTTTGAAACTCCTTTTCTGGCCCTGTGACCTACTTATGCAACAGACCGGAACCATTTGATCAACTTTGGCAGGGGACCACCCTAGGATCATTCCTGTAAAGTTTGGTTGCTGTGCAGTCATTTGTTTCTGAGGAGATGTTGTTTAAAGAAATTGCTGATGACGCACAACGACGGACGGTGGGGGATCACAATAGCTCACATAGATGTAAAAACATCTTAATATCCAGACTTCATTGCCATTTTCAAGGCATCAAGAAGGGATCTCACAATTTTCAAATATTTTTAAATGTTATTGTAACAAATCATTTTAATTCTTCTTTAATAAAAACTAGAAATGTGTCCATAGGACACAGGTGCCCCCACCGCGCCACTGTTCTGTCAATCTTATGACTCTAGGTCAAATATTTTTTGAAAACTAAAAATCTTTTTACTAAGTAAAGGGCAAGAACTTTACAAATACTGAATAAATCCCCAAGCAAACCCCAAGTTGAAAATTGCAAATTTATACTACTGTAATTCAAGGGCAATAACTCTGAAAAATAACAAAACTGAAAAAAATCCACATGCAAAGTCCCAGGTTCATAGCATCACAGTGAGGTGAATCACTATTCCTGTAATTTAGTGATGTTGATCATTATTCCTGTAAAGTTGGTCAATTCTAACTCAAGCACTCAAGGATCAAATAACAACATAATGAAACAGTTTTTACTAAGTCAAGGGAAATAACTCTACAAATACTGGATAAATCCACAAGCGAAACCCCAGGAACAAACTAAATATGCTGAGCAACTTTCCAATAAGGTTTAATGACCCTATGTCAAATCCTTTTTGAGTTACATGCGACACATGTTGAAAATTGCAAACATTTTCTAAGTCAAGGGCAATAACTCTAAAAATACTAAATAAATCCAGACGAAAATACCCAGGTGCACAACTACACATGATGATCAACATTCCTGTAAAGTATCATGACTCTAGGTCAAATACTTTTTGAGTTACATGCGACACAAGTTGAAAATTACAAAAATTTTACTAAGTCAAGGGCAATAACTCTAAAAATACTAAAAATATCCAGATGAAAATACCCAGGTGCACAACTACACATACTGATCAACATTCCTGTAAAGTTTCATGACTCTAGGTCAAATACTTTTTGAGTTACATGCGACACAAGTTGAAAATTACAAAATTTTACTAAGTCAAGGGCAATTACTCTTAAAATACTAAAAATATCCAGACGAAAATACCCAGGTGCACAACTTCACATGCTGATCAACATTCCCATAAAGTTTCGTTGAATTCCAGCCATTAGTTGCAGAGAACTACTCCGGAAACGAAATTCGGACAAAATTTTACTGAGTCAAGGGCAATAACTCCTAAAATACTAAAAATATCCAGACGAAAATACCCAGGTGCACAACTTCACATGCTGATCAACATTCCCATAAAGTTTCGTTGAATTCCAGCCATTAGTTGAAGAGAACTACTCCGGAAACGAAATTCGGACGGACGGATGGATGGACGGACGGACGGACGGACGGACGGACAGACGGACGGACGAAAGGACGGACGGACAACGCCAAAACTATATCCCCCTCCCGATTCCATCGGCGGGGGATAACAAACAACAACATTTTAACTAAAGTAAGTCATCCTCGAGGGTTATTATTTTAAAGATTTTTTTTCAAAAATTGTCCAGTTTTCTTTTTTAAAGGTCATTTTGATTTCTCTACGACTAGTCTCTATTGTTAGCAGTTACATTGTATATTGAAGACCGACTGAAACATTAACATATTTACAAGAACTATTAAATGCCCTTTTCTAAAGTCATAATATTTGCATATCATTATTTCGTTTTAATTGAAGAAATTATAACTTTAATTGAAGAAAATATAACTAAAAAGGTTATTATTTTACACTTGAGAATGTCATTATTACCAATGCAGTTTGGTTTGAAATATGAAAGATATTTGTATGTTTGTTTCCTCATAACTTAATCATTGACGTCATATAATATCGAATAATTTGAATAATTTATGAATTCATTTTGCATTCTATTTTTAAACTCAACATCGTATTATTTTTTTCTGTACAATGTTCGTATAATATTTGTTCATTAAAATGGAACAGAGCTGTCGTTTAAAAATTAAAAAATATATTGAAATTGGGTTAAGAACTTGACCTTGTATGGTAGAAAACTGCAATTTATGAACTCAGTAGCTTTCAGTATGATACAAAAAAATGTGTTCGTTCGAAATAAGGTACCCTTTCAATATATGTTTGCTATCACATTAATAAATGATAAGTACCAAAATAATGAGCTAAGCTCATATATTATTAAAAAAAAATAAAGAAAATATTAAATCTATATTACGGAAAGTGATTGGATAAAATATATCTTATAGGACCTCAAAGCATGTAACGTATATATTACTTAGATTCACTTTAATGAGACGGGGGTGGGGAGGGGGTAGTCTTTGACTGCTGAACGTCTTTTTTTTATCTCATTCAATGAAAACAGAAAAACGTTGTAATAAGTAAATAAACATGTATTTAAAAAAATGAATCCATTCTAAATGTTCAAAGATTCTACTTAAGTATCTAAAAAAGCAATTACGAACAAAGGCCAAACATTTTTTTCCAATAAAATCATTTTAAAAACGAACTAAGGGGCAAAATAAAAAAGGAGGTTTCATATATATTTCCAGTACTATACACAGAATCGTTAGCAATATCCGGCCCGTCTTTATTCTAGCTTTATTTATTTTCCTGCCATGTTTGTCGAACCTTTTGAAAAGTGTTTCGGATAATATTGATCGAAATCTTGATATTGTTTTGGCCTGATCTTATCCAAACATACACTTTTAACTTTTTATGGATTCTTGACTGCCGTTTCTAATAATGCTTCTTTGACGCAAGACATCGTACCAATTGAGTTTTAGACAAAGCCTCTTATAATGTCACCGGTGCGATCAATTGGTCGTTTTTTTGTCTTCGTGGCGAGCGTTTATCGAGTAAACAGCTTTTGAATCAGGGGTCTATATTACCATGACTACGAACCGAGGACCGAGTTTATGAAAGTCAGTGTGTTGTTTTAATTGATGTATCAGACATTCTTCTCCGACTTATATATAAAAAAAAAACTTAGGCCACATATCTCTCCTATATTACAATTTAGATATTAATGCCTGCTTTAGAGATACAAAGTGGTCGTTTTGATGAGAACATAATAAAAAACATTTGCAGATATCTTAATGGCCGACGTCCTTATTGTATTGCAATTAACTGAATGCACTGTTGATAAATTAAATCTCAGCAGCCTTTCAGAAGTACTTCCATGCAATTACTTTGGGTCTTTTTACTCGATTAATGACTTCTATTCCTGTTTTTTTGTTGCAGTTAAATCCAGAGAGCCGAAGTTTACGAACAGATTTACGTTTGTCGAAGTAAACGCTGAGCATTTTAATTACGGCGTTCCCCTGCGTTACAACCATACCACGTACCCAGGCGATGACGAATGTCCTTGCAGTGTGTTCGAATACAGCATTATTGACGTCGAAGACGTCATGACGCCGGATAACCCCGACCGTTTTAACATATTTGAAATTGATAGGTTAGTCATTTTGACCGTCACCCAATGTTGGTTTAATGTAATGTACTTTTCAAAGTTTTATAAATACCTAGAACAACCCAAGGCAACTATAATTTTCAGTATATGACGTTTAAGCAATATCAAATGATCATGTTTTTGCATATATTGATCATTTCATCTTACAATACAAGTGTCTCGAAATGTGCCCGGTGTTACATAAATATAAGAAGGTATTCCATAAGGTACATGTACATTGATAAATCGCAGCAGGGAATCGCAGTAAGATTACCCAAATTAGCGCATACGATACCTTGTGACTGTTATATTTACACTTAGCTAGTCGAACTACGTAGAACTAGTTGTAACTCGTTAAAACAAGTTCATCCTTAAATTACATATTGGTCAGATGCTCTGAAGAGATCTTCCGGTGAAAAGCTCTCAAATACAAATTACTGAGTATTGTTTTAATACTTATTATGCATGAATATCTGTTGAAATTATTTGAAGATCTAAATGAAAATCGTATTACTTAAAAGGTGTAGTGTTCAAAAGAATCAAATAATGTTTGCTGTAGAATCAAATTATGTTTGCTGCATTCATTACCTTATCTTAAATAAAATGCAGCTTCGAACTACTACTGTTCCGTATTACATGGCTTTGGGTGATTTAACTATTACTCTGCTGGACCCAAAAGTGCCAGTAAAGAGCCAGGTCATACCGCACGTCCGCGCGCGCAGTTTGGCCTGACCATAACTGTAGCCACAAGGTAACCATTGATCAAAATTTCATCTTGATATCTCTAAATTAACAGTTCCAAAACTGGAAGCTCGGAAATGTCCTTTTAAGAATTTTAGCAGGTCAAGAGTTTAAGTGAATTGGCCCTAATTGCAATGTATGAAATACCATAATTAATAATGTAAAAATTAAATAATGAAAAAAATTTATAAATGGATGTTGCAGGCGAATACAATATACGTTGTCTGATATTACATACATGTATTTTATCACTTAGAATTAAATGAATGATTTTTAAAGAAATATTTAAAAGAATTTTTTGTAAAACTTTCCAAATAATACATGGCTCTTGTTTTTTATCAATTATTATTGCAAATATGCCAATTGCAGACCAATCCACTTTAAACATGATTTCGGAAGTACACATATTTTCAAACAATTTTTTTTTCTCAAAAAGGAAAAAACTCTTTCTGCATTGATAAGGCGTCCTGTGAACGTTGCCTTTGCCTTGTTGATATTTATTCTTGTTTTTTTAAGACTAAAATGATTTCATTTTTTTCTTATTTTTTCTTAAAAAAAAACAAACTTTCAACGATCTCAAAGATGACAAGTTTTTAAATAAAATTCAGATATTTTTCAACATACCTGCCATTTTGATATTTGCCAAGTATTTTAGACTTAAAGTACATGTTCTTTTTTTATAAACTTTATTTGTAAATTTCAGTAATACGGGTAAAATTCGTCTGGCGCAGAAAATACTTTCATCGGATCTGTATCGCCTGACAATACAAGTGAAAAATCTTGACATAAATTTATCTGATAATACTACGATAACAGTTGCACGTGAAAAACCCGTGCATGATGAATTGTATTCATTCGAGAGAGAAAATGGGAACGGATACCCCGAGGAACACAGAATACATAAAAGGGTAATGTGTAATATGAAATAAATTGAATACTGCAAAATCATTATTATTTGTGGGTCACTAATTTTCGTGGTTTTAGTGGATATGTCAATACACGAATTCAAGATCCAACGAATCTTTATTTCTTCTACTGTCAGATTTTTTTGAATCACATTTCTTGCATTAAATTAAAGGGACTCCACTGAGGTTTTAAGACCTGATGGGACTGAAAATATTTTTTCCAGATAAATTTTCTATTTGATGTATATTTAGACCACTAATCTCAGATCATTTGCACACTTCGTTTTTCCAGAATAATTATTCAAATTGTAGAAAAAATGACTCAAAATGAAAAGCGTTTAAACGCTTTGCACTGAAATCAGGCTAAGAAGAGCATAAAATACGATTTTCAATTTATTTCAAAGTATATTTCTAAACTACCTTTTTGCATATATTTCTGTTTAAAGTGCCCCAGCTCATTTATATAAGAAAATCAAATGTTATGTTTTTAGGCTTTTAAACCTCAGTGGAGTGCCTTTAACCTCTTTCGCATATTCACGAATGAAAAACAAACCCCACGAAAATGTTCTATTTGAACAAAAAAAATCCACGACATTTGTGCCCACGAAATTAAATTAATTTATATTAAACTATATTTTAATTGCAAACATAGTTACTTTGTAAATGTAGGTTTAAGTCTAGGCCGATGTGTTTTAGCTATGTACATCAAACTATTATTCAGTCGGAAAACCAGTATGTGATATACTTGTATAGTCAAAGAAATGAGCGGTTTGCGTACTGACTCCTTTTTTTAATTTTCTATTAATGTGCTTTTTCTTCTTAAGATCAAAGAAAAATAAAGTGAGAACAAAAGAAAAAAGAAAAGCACTACATTCTTTCGCTTTTTTTTTCTTTGTATAAGAATTCAGCTTAGAAACTATTTTGATCTGGTCACACATAGTGACCATATTGATTTACAGTATAAAAGGTTTTTGCTCACGTTATGAACAAAAACTTGTTATTTTTATAATACGAGAATGTTGGTAGTGTTGCTTTTGTTACTTCTTTTTATCGCAAAACCATAAAAAAAACAACAAAAAACCGAAAATAACGAAAAAAAAAAAAAAAAAAAAACAAAAAAAAAAAAAAAAAAAAAACGAAAAAAGACAGAAGAAGAAGAAAGAAAAATAACGCAAAAAACAAAAAAAAAAAAAAAAAAAAACACAAAAACAACAACATAATTTTTGTTCAAATACGTAGAAAGTTAAAACCGAAATACAACTATGTAAAGTTTTTGAAAGTTTAAGGGCGTTATTTTATATTTATAGTCTATATTAAATATTCAGCCTGTTTCGGACTAAATTTAACTTATTTATTTTAAGCGTTTCTTTTTTGTTTGTCCTGGCCCCGTGCTCACTAAGAAAAAATCAGGATCAAATGATCCCTGATCGTATTTGCTAGAATTAAGTGGTACATATTCAAAAAGTAGAAATGCTGATTTACAAGAAAACAAACATATTTTGTAACGAAATCGTCAAATAGAACCAAATACAAAAAAAAAAAAAAAAAAATAAATAAATAAATAAAAAATAAAATACGAAAAAAATGGACCAAAATAAGGATCGATTCTTGGATTGAGATCAATATTTGAATCAACTGTAAAGTGCCTATATCTAGCTAAAATAACAATAAATTTATCTTAATATTTCAATACATGCTATTTCAAGTCCAGTTTTATCAAGTTAGTATTGAATATTTAATCTATGCGGATGAATAATGGAGAATATTTGAGTTTTTAAAGATCCTGATCTTGATCCTAAAATCTTTGTGAGCACAGGGTCTGGCGCTGAACTTAAACACAAAATATGCAATGACTTCATTGTCAACATACAAGAGAATTAGAATTATCAATAAAATTACATTTCAATCATTTCCGGTTAAATTTGGTGCAATCTATCAATACTGAGAAATATTTACCTTATTCACACTTGTTAGGGTCTAGCACTTCTACCCCCTTGCCTCTCACCACTGATACAGGTTCGAATCTTGCTTCGGACGTTGAGTTTGCAACGTTGTTATTGTCGCGAAGTTTATATTATTAGCTATACAGATTGTTGACAGGTTATATGGCCCTATTATATTGCAAACAGCCGTTTATATACGGCCATATAACCTGTCAACAATCTTTATAACAAATTTATAATACAGCAAGCATCATCTTTAAGAGAAAAAAGTAAGATTTCTTCATGAATCGACAACAGCCGTGTATATAAACTATATAAACGTCACGATTAATGAAAAGCGACGATACAAAACGTGCAGTATTATAAAGTTTTATAAACACGTCTGCTGTCGATTTATGAAGAAATCTTACTTTTTCTCTAAATTATGCTTGCTAGCGCCTTGGGTTATAACTCCAAACAACAATTAATATAGCCTGTCAAAATTTTTACAGAAGGCTATTGTCAATAATGAAGAAATCTCATTTGTTTTTCTCTAAAAAAAGAAGTTTGCTGTATTATAAATCCGTCATAATACTTCTGACAGGTTATATGGCCATATATAAACGTTTGTTCGCAATCTAACCGTGTGTATAGGGCCATATAACATGTCAAAATCTGTATAACAAATATGAATATATGTCAGCTAATTCAACATAAGGATATAAATATCATTTTCAATCATACCGAGGAAATTCAAAGAAATATTTACAGGTTTTACAGTTTAATATGAAAAAACATGGACTATTATCTATATATGGATATTTCCTTTATACTATTGTTCATCTAATATCATGCATGTATTTATTCAAAATAATTAAAACTAAAAAATGACTGATAAAAAATCATATACAAAGCAAATAATATAATAGCATGAAATAAGAAAACAAAATATTTTAACACTTTCAGTCGGTCATACCTGACGAGATGAATTTCACACTAACACAGAACGATCCATCAATCATCAATATGCGAGTTGGTACACGAATCAGCTTCACACTTGATATTCTATTTCCTGGTGGCGATACAGACATCTCGGTTGAGTTATTCACCCCTGACAGTACAACCACAGTCATGATCTTGTGTGATGTTGCCGTCCAGTCTATCGGATTTAACCTGGGTAAATATACCAGAAGTATCTCGAATTTAACACATATATCACTCGGAATATTTCGACGATTATTCATAATCGGTTTTTATCCGAAGTTTGACGGAAAGGGTCGATAAGTTACGATGACTTGCTTGATTTACCATTTCACACAATGAACTCGTCATGCTTTGAATTCAGAATTGTTCATTTTTATGCCCCCACAAAGAGGGGAGCATAGAGCGTTGCACTTGTCCGTCTGTCCGTACGTCTGTCCGTACGTCCCGAAATCTTGTGAACACAACACCTCTTTAACCGGATGGCAGATTTTGCTTAAACTTACAGGGATGAACAACCTTAATGCGTAGATGGTAGTGAAGAAAGGCATTTTTACTGTGACCAAATTTAACAGAATTATGGCCCTTTGTTGATTTTTTCACTATATACTATGTAGAAATTTTGTGAACGCAACTCTTCTTAAACCGGATGGCAGATTTTGCTTAAACTTCCAGGGATGAACAACCTTAATGCGTAGATGGCAGTAAAGGAAGGAATTTTTGCTGCGACCAAATTTAACAGAATTATGGCCCTTTGTTGATTTTTTCACTATATACCATATAGAAATTTTGTGAACCAAACTCCTCTTAAACCGGATGGCAGATTTTGCTTAAACTTACAGGGATGAACAACCTTAATGTGTAGATGGTAGTAAAGGAAGGAATTTTCGCTGCGACCAAATTTAACAGAATTATGGCCCTTTGTTGATTTTTTCACTATATACCATATAGAAATTTTGTGAACCAAACTCCTCTTAAACCGGATGGCAGATTTTGCTTAAACTTACAGGGATGAACAACCTTAATGTGTAGATGGTAGTTAAGGAAGGAAATTTTACTGCGACCAAATTTAACAGAATTATGGCCCTTTGTTGATTTTTTCACTATATACCATAAAGAAATTTTGTGAACGCAACTTCTCTTAAACCGGATGGCAGATTTTGCTTAAACTTCCAGGGATGAATAACCTTAATGTGTAGATGGCAGTAAAGGAAGGACTTTTTGCTGCGATCAAATTTAACAGAATTTTGGCCCTTTGTTGATTATTCACTATATACCATATATATGTTGTCGGTGGGGGCATCCGTGTCCTTTAGACACAGTTCTAGTTTATTTCGGGATTAGTTAATCTAAATATGGCCGCATTGCAGCTGTTCATGGTAAAGTCGCATACTGAAACAATATATAGTTTGATAACTACTCAACAAAAGTTTATTATCTAAAATATGAAATTAATATGATATAGCAATACACTTGAAGCTTATTAACATTTTATGTTTTTGTATAACGATTTTTTCTCGAATTAATTAGGAATTTATAATCTTATTATTCTAGGAATAAATACAGAATAACAAAACGATGTCTTCTTGTTAGGAATAAGAACATTTTGAGACGATCCCTCAAAATAGTTTACATGCGCGCTGCCATTTTGAAATGGACGTCAAGCCAAAAACAATGCAAATCAGGAGGCTTTCCCCTTTAAACTAAATTATTGCCATTTTTTTGGAAAATAAATATATACCAACACGTGGACATATCAAACCGAAATTCTAATATTATTAATTTAAATTCTAATATTATTAATTTTGTAGAATTATATCGTCGACAAAAAATGCAGTGGTTTTTCTTCTTTCAGCTACCGCATGGAATGATAACGTGGTCTATGATAGCAAAGCAGGGTTCGAGACATATCAGGTATCAAAGATCATTTAATTTAAATAGTTTACGGTTCATTCTTTTTATTTGTTTGTTAAGCACGCTCAGTACTTGTGAAATTATTTATCGAAATCGAAAATATTATTATTTTAAAGTGACATTCACTGTCTAGTTAAGTTTGGCTATTATAATGAGGATTAACCAATAAATGATAATATCTCTTATTTAGGATAAAATATTAAAACTGCCTAAAACATAAAAAAAACGATTTATAAATTGAATGCTACAGTACCGAAACATTCGGAAGGAAATTATTAGATATCTTTGTCAGTCACAGTGGAAATTGATTATTGAGGTGACGTTAATTATAAAATTGAAAAAAAAAACACATATGTAAAGTCATTTTGAATTTTATCTAAAAAGTCGACGTTTACTCATGGATGGGCATAATACCACTTAAATATTGATCATTTGATTACCTGCTTGTTGGCCGATGAGGAAGATTTGTGAATTGGAAAAGGAAGAAGTTACTGATTGCAATATTGTACAGCAACCGAGTATTTTTATGAACTTTGTTCCAATCGATATATTCGCGTCACCTTTTCATTTGTTTCTTTCAAAACAAATTTCGAACCAATCGATCATTCCGGCCCGGATTTAATTTATGTCTGATATAAAATTTTAAACAATCAATATTCCCGTTCCTTTCGTGTTAATTAAATTTTGTTGTCAACTATAACCTCGTTTGCTTTGTTTAAACTAGTCCCAAGTCTGGCTTCCTGAACTTATCAGGACCGCAATCGGAACATCTCGGCTATCGTCAATAATAACCTCGGACTTTATTCGGATTGAAAGTAGTTCTACCACGTTGTTTTATGCGTAAATAAAAACAGAGGGTGTAATCTTTGATTATGAATATAATATATTACGTCCAAAGCAAAATAGTCTATTTCGACGAAATTATGATTAAACTTATGCCTTACAAAAATAATTAATTAAGAAATGCTCACTAAGGTACAATTATTACCACATCCGAATAAATGTCAACAGGTAGACATTTTGTACTTCCGGTTTCTACAACTATAATAATAAATATATAAAAACTGTACTGTTAACTTTAATATCTTAAAATATACTTAATTTAGATGGACTATTACCCGATATATTAGTATAGAAAGTTAGCTTATTGAAAAGTTAAATGCGTAAATACTGATCGTTCAATTATGATTATAACATGTAAAAGCTTACCCATGCATACATTAATTCAATATCAAGACAATAGAAAAAAATACAAAAACAAAGATTGAGATTAATTCTCGCGCCACCACGGATTTATAAATCCGTGTCGCAACGGAGTGAAACAGCGGAATTTCAAAGTGAATATATTTATTAGATCTAGATTTTCTCCAGGATAAAAAGCTAGTAACTAAATCAAATTTTAATATTTTATAAACACCCATACACACTGAAATTGCCTATTATTAATTTAAATGGCCATTTTCTAGTTTTCTGTGTTATTTTCTGTCATTTAGAAAATTCCGGCGTATTTGTGACAAACATGAAAATAAGATTGCCAATGTCTTTTAATGGTTGTTTTTCAAGCTTTAATAGAACAATAACAGAATGCATTATGTCAATACTTACTGATTCTTTTTCATTATGCTGTATGAAAAATATTTCAAAGAACAAGTGAAGGCTATAATTTTATAAATATTCCGGAAAGAACGAAAACAATGTGGCATTGATTTTTATAATTTTAGATTCGCAACAGACGATAATAAGATAATTTTGATATTAAAAAACTATTCTTTAAAGACCTTTTCCCAGTAACTTATTTCATAGATGTGTATATATAAGCGCCACTGGGCCGTAACATATTAATTTTTTTAACATAACATAACATAATTTTGTTATGGATCATCCTAGGGACTTTATTGGTCATGCCTAACTGATTTGATACTCGATCCAGAGTCCTACTTACTGGCACAGTCAAAAATACGTAAAATTATAATTCAGATAATAACAAATTTCTGTGAACGTGTTTCACAACTTTTTGTTGATGTTTTTTTTGTGATTTTTTTTTTAAATATTTGATAAGCAGTGTATGAATAAAAAAGTATCAAGTTGAAAATATAACTTTACCAGCTTAAATATATTGGTGTGATCACGGATTTACATTACATAATGTAATATAAATCCGTGGTGTGATGTACGATTTTTTGAGAGTGCATTTTTTGCCGACACAAATAGTATACAGTCATGTACATTTAAAAGAATTTTTACTTTTTATGCCTTTACATTTTTTTTGAAATAATATAGATTTATATTGTTTTCTTTTCTTTGTCTTAGTAATGCTTACATCAAAATGATTTTAATAAACCAGTATCTTGCAATTAATTATTACGCAGCCGTTTTTTCGAAACTACAGAATACTTACATTTTTGAAACTCAAAATATCTTTTGGGTATTGTATATTAGCAGAGACATAGATACATTATATATATCTCTGGTATTAGTAAGTTAGTACGATTTAACTGCCTATTAAAATTTTCATTATTAAGAATCTAACGAAAATCGTAATCATGATCAGTTACTCAGGATTATGGTCTACTATTTAAACAAATCATTAACCATATTATATAGTTAACATATTTATTCATTTCACCATCCTTTTTTATGTAATTTGTATCATAGTTTGGGGACCTTTCTGTTGAAAATGTGTCAGAGTTAAATCGTATACATATACATGCACCGTGTGTTAACTGGAATGCAGGTATTAGATACCCGCACTCCAGAGCATGTCCATTGATTGGCTCATTTCTTATTGTGACCGAAGAGAAAGGGAAAGCGACAGAAATATCATATTCAGATGCTCGTTCATTGGTTACTTTTTCCCGGGGTTTCATATTTTGACATGACTATGATACAAAAGAGAAAGAACATCAAAACACTCGGCAAGCTGAATAATACTCGGGGGCTACGCCCCCTCGTACAAATCAGATAGCCTCGTGTTTCGATGCTCTTTCTATTACATCTTATTCAATTACACAAAATTTTGGCAATTTCAATCTGCCAATCTTAAAAGAGAAAGGATTAAGATCTGTATATCCCTCTATTATTGTACTTAATCGTATCGGCATTGTCCACCGTATCCTCCAATGACGTCATTCAAGGGCGACAACTTGAATACGGTCTTAAATGAAAGGGTCTCTATAGTCTTTAACTTCTAGCATTAAATTACTATTTGTTACATGTTTAGTTTCTTAGCGTAGGTTAGTCCGTTCTGTGTATTCTTACTATTGCGTACCGTAGAAAAACGTAATATTATACATATTGCTTACATTCAAATCGTTTGAAAATACAATTTCACTAGACCTGACAAATTGCCCGTTGACGGCCCTGAGCAAGGCATGATGAAGTCACAAGATGAAGTAGATGATGTTGTAATGTAAAAATGTTGGCTATCTAAAAGTACACACATTAACTATTTTTTAGCCTGACATGGCCACACTAAACTTTGGTACGGTAACGAACAGCCAAGTCAATGTCACCGACGTGGAAGCCAGCACTATAACAATCACTTACAGTGCCGTGATGATAGACAACCCGCTGACCCAGAACTCGGAATACTGGGTTAGCGCTGGTGCAGAATATTTGAATGAAAATTATATCTGGGTGGGTTCAGCGTCTGTAACAGCTATAAACGACGGAGATCAGGTAAGGTTCACATACGCAGTGTTCTCCCCTTATTAGTACCAGTCTGCGAAGGGAGGTAATCACTGTGAGGAGTTTGGCACATATGACATTTTTCAGTCGGAAAATCCATCGTTATTTTTACACGGTTTTCTTATTAAAAAAAACTTGTCATTTCTAAATCAAAACAGGCTTTGAAAAATGGCGTGTTATATATTAGCGCGAATTTCTGCTTTTTTCTTGGTTTAAATTGGTTTAAACATAGAGAAAATTTCAAAAAAATTTCAATTGATTTATATAATAATTCGTACATGTACTGTTTAAAATACATAGACTATTCTGTTATAAAAAGCTTTCGATTTAAAGCGCTGTATTCAGAAAAATTGTTATCTTATTTGACCTGCTACATAAATTGGAAAAGTTATTTATGAAGCTACAGTCTCACTAACATCCCGGCAGAGCCCCGGTAGACGTCCGGGGTGATCCGGGAACGACCGTGGTACGACCGGGAACAACCGGAGTACTGCTTGTAACGCCGGAATGATCCGGGAACATCCGGCATTCGACCCCGGATGGAATAAAATATTTAATATCACCGGGGTGGTCCGGGATGATCCGGGAAGTATAGCTTTGCCGGCTTCATCCTGAGCTCTGCCGGGAACGACCGGGGTTACACCGGGGGAGCACCGTAGAGCTACGGTAGAGCACCGGTGAATGCTGGCAGTGCCCCGGTGAAGGCCGGCAAACCCCGATGATTTCACTTGTTTGTATTATAACCCTTCCCATTTTCCTTTTATCCAGTCTTGCATAAGGATTTTTCAGAAACTCATCATGAATAACTGTTCTGGAACAATAGATATAATATTAAATAAAAATTATGTATCAATGTTATCATTTTCGCGCGTTTTCAATCCACCGGGACTCTGTCTGGATCGTCCTGGGCTCCGCCGGAACTCTGCCTGGGTCAACCGGGGCTCTTCCAGCGTCATCCGGGAACGACCGGGGAAGCACCGGCATGAACCGTAGCTTCACCTGGGCTCTGCCTGGATGGTCCGGATCGCATCATGGGTGGTTAATTGGTAATTACCGTAGTGCTGCCGGGGAAAGTGTGACCGCAACAATAATTTCACCCTGGATCGTCCCGGATCATCCCAGTTACTTACTGGGGTGGTTCTTGGCTCTGCCGGGAGTAAGTGAGACCACAGCTTCAAGAAAAAGTACGGTCATTTTAGTTGACTGCTATATATTTTTATTCAATCAATTGTAAAAACAAATATTTAATTGAAAAATAGTATTTATATTAAAAATTCCATCGTAATTATGATGATGCTGATGCTGATAATAATAATGATAATAATGATGATAATAGATACTATTCCACAATAATGATAATAATAATGATAATGTAATTGATAATTATCAATGTTGTATCATTATTTATAAAGATTATCACGTTTGTTAGCTTGTGAAGTTTTTGTGTGTGAATATTTCAGACTGTTAGCAAAGTTCCGACCTTCAATGTGAATATGCCAACAAATGTAGCACTTGGAAGCTCGCACCTAGTTCTTGTAGAAATGTTTATACCGTACCCGTACAGGCAATATGTATTCAAGGTACGTATGTTAATCAGTTAAAACCACATATATAGCATACAGTTATTTAAAGGCTTCATCATTTAGCGCTGTAATTCTTTTTCAATAACAGGTTTTGAAAATTGGAATCTCTTTTATCTATTCAATTATTTTGATAAATGATTCATCGATGTTATGAAGAGCTTTTTCATTTATTTCATATTCACTATTTGGTCTCTTGAGAAAAATTTAGAATCATCAATCAAAATGTGGTCTAGAAAACAAGCCACGTTAGGCTGAACGGGCAATTCATTGATCAGCGTTCCTGAATAAACTTTTAATTAGATAAATTCTGATTGGTCTATTTTCGGAAGTGGCAACCAATCATCATATCCGTTACATATTCTCTTCATTTCATGTAAATTAGGCCTTTACTCCGGCTGACACTGTTGGTGTGATGTCAGTTTGCGACATTCGGTTTGAGGGATTGGGTGACAATTTCGGTTGCGGAAATGACGAGAATCAAATAACACCATCAACAGTAGAGGATCCTCAAGCTGCCGGAAATGCGATTGGCGTCCTTGATATCGGGCATTTATTGAATAAAGGTGCATATTTTTACTGCTTTTCAATATGTTTTCAACCTTATCGATATGAGAAAATAAAATAAATGACAGGAATGAGAACATTTAAGTCTACATTACTAATCTTGTATAACTGTATATAGCCTGACTAGGCTATTTACTGTTGGTTGGCTTAATTAGAAATTTCATCTTAATGTGATCAAAAATTGATTAAGAAATAAAAAAGGGAAGCTTATCAAATCACTTTTAGAAATTCTGCGAGTCAAGTGCACAACAAAAGCCAAAACAAACAAAGAGGTAAATGATTATTCTAATAGATATATTCAATAAGGTTACAACAACACTTACCGTGCTGAATCCGGAAATGATAAGCCTTATCCATCAGTATGAAGCTAAGTCCGAGTGCACATGAAAACCAAAAACTTTTTTTTTAATGCGTTTATTAAGGTCGCCGCCGGAAAGCCCATATGGGCGACCGTACACTCAAGTCGGCCATCCTAGAGCGTCCCTCCGGGCATTATGTCAGGCACGAGCGGGCACCCGGGTAGAACCACCGATATTCCGTAAGCCAGCTGGATGGCTTCCTCACATAAAAGATTTCGACCAAAGTGAGGATCGAACCTACAGCGGTGAGGGACCAGTGATCTCAAGTCAGCGACCTTAACCACTCGGCCACGGAGGCCCCTAAACAAAAACTGAAGCTTGGCAAGTCAATTAAAGAAACTTTACTGATGTCTGAAGGCCTAGAGACATAACATTTTAAAATCTTACAGATATCAAGTGAAGCTCTTAAATAGAAAAATCAGCAAAGGATAGCAAAGAAATATAGCTCAGACTTAAATTGTTATTCTTTTAAGTCGGATATGAGTAAACAGTGTTGTTATGTCTTTTTTTTCAATTTTGGGCATTTTCCTCAATACAAATGATTGTTCTGGAAAGAACGGGATAAGAGAATGAATTGAAAATTTACACACAGGTAATTGGTCCCAACCTTCATCAGTTGGTACATAAATCTCGGAAAAATATTTTCAGTTAGGTCATGTTATTTAACCTCAGTGGGGTCCTTTTAAAGATATGGCTTTAAGCTTTAATACACAAAAAAAGAACGTGGCGATTAGGACCATGTGTTTTATTTTACTACATCATTGCAAAATTTAGAAAAATGCATAATTTGGCCTACTTAGATCTAAAAGGTATTGGAAGTGTTGGTACAACAGCATTTACAATACTTTGGTATCGCTGGGACATTATAAGTAGTATACATGTACATGTACATGGTATAATTGATATTCATAAATATACATTGTAATTGCCTTTCATCTATATTAAGGCAGTCTAGATTTTTTCGGCCAAAAGTCCGGCGCTCAATATTATGTTCCAGAGTTGCACCAGAACTGATACTATTTTGTTTACCTACCTCTCCAAGGTTATTATGCCCTTCCAACAGTAGAGGTGAAAGTAAAAATTAAGTTAATATTTTGCCATAATTCTTTTCAATTTTATAATATACTTCGCATGAACGATAATTAACTCACGTAGCCAAAACAAACTTCTTTAAATATCCATTAGAATTAACATGTATTTTTCAAATTATAAAAAAAGATTGAGACAGTTTTTTTTTTTCATATAGATTTATATCAATTGTTGGTCAATCACCATTAAAACAGTCAATCTTTTTGAAAAAAAAATACAGTAAATTTATCTCAACTTGACACTGAAAACAAGCATAATGTCACTTTAAGTTATCCTAAAAAAGTCGGTAGTTCAAAGTTTCAATATTTACTAATCTTTTTGCATAATCTGTAGATATTTGTAACAAAAGTTCAAGATTTTTATCGATACATGTATTACATTTGCATATGTTTCAGCCTCAAGAGATGATCCCTTGGTTATAGTCGACGCTGACAATAAGGCGTCATTGACTATGATTCTACATATGTATCCAGACATGTCAAAAATTGGACAGTTGTTGTCTGTAGGCTTAGCGCTTGAAATTGATGACACCACTTCTATATGGATAGGGAGCTCAAATTTTACAGTTGATCCGCCGGTTACAACAGCCGATGATCTGGTATGTCAATATTTTTGAATTTCTCACTCAATTAAAATAAAATACGTATATAAACCGTTAGACTGCAGGTGACAATAGATTCTACCTATGCTGGTGGCCTTTACAAACAATGATTAACCGGCATATCCGTTTTGCTGAATTTAAATTTTTCATTGAAAATGATTGGTTTTGTCCGGATTTAAAGAAGATACACAGACTAAATCAAACTGAGTTTGTAATTTTTATGTAATTTTGTTGTGATAAGTGCTTCCGAGGGATCACACTTTTTCCAGATTTTATAGTCATTTGAGCCACAACAGCGGGAATGTTATACTTGAGATTATAGCGATGCATGCAGATGCTGCTGTCAAAGCTCCGATTCATGATATTTAACTATTGCTTATTTTTTTACTTCAGACTGACATCCAATTTAACTCCGTGTCGTCAAGTCTTAATTCAAATTTAGATGACGCAACTGTTGGTGTTCCATTCTCAATGACTTACGAACTGGAAGTCCCTCCTCCAACCACACCCAGTGTTGCCACCCAGTACATTTTAGAAATTCTCGCTCCATTTGATGGCACTGCCCCAATTTTTTCTGTGTGCTCCTTTGAAGTGATCAGTGTTGGACAAGATATGCCATGTTTAGTGAAAGAGGATTTGGTGACAGAATACAGCTCAAGAGTTACCGGAGATACCCCATTGGATGCCGACCGAGCAAAAATCGATCTTGGTATGCACATGTTTTAACTCCATAATGCCCTCATTGTGCTACTGTTCTTTAACGTTTCTGTCGAAATACTTTAGCCTTTCACAATTCGTTATTGTGATCTAGAAAATCTCTATGTATGATAGAACACAATGTGTTGAAATATAATTTGGTTATTCAAAATACCATGCCGATAACACGCCGTTTTAGGGTAAATTATTAATAGAAAGAGCATCGAAACACGAGGCTATCTGATTTGTACCCGATGCCGTAGTATAAATCAGATTGCTGAGTATTTTGATGTTCTTTGTCTTTTATATCATACGTTCCCCGTTATCACAAGATGAAACCCCAGAAAAAAGTAACCAATCAACGAGCATCTGAATATGATATTTCAATCGCTATCTTTTTTCTCTGTTGTCACAATACCCGCACTCCAGTTACCGCATTATCTGGAACAGTGGCTAGAATAAAAATAGAGCATGCTCGTTGATTGGCTAATTTTGTCTGTGGTTTACTTATTGTTACGACGTCAGGCAAGGGTAACGATCTGATGCTCGTAAATTGGTAACATTTTCCGCGGTCTCATATTGTGACGACAAGGAACGTGTTTTCATTTTTGCCGAAAGAACATCAACACAATCGGCAATCTGATTTATGCCCCCCCCCCCTCATACAAATCAGATACCTCTTGTCCAATGCTCTTTCTATTACTTAAATTTACACGAAAAGAAAAAAACATGTGACCCAGTTATATGCTGGCAATCATACATACATGTATGAAAATTGCTTTGAGACAATCAACAATAATTTCTTGTCAGCGTTGGAGCTAGATTTTGTTTTAGATCTGATGCACTTTTGTGTTGCATAAAGAATTCTCTTATCAAACTGGTTTACACAAAGAAGCTAATGTACCAAATATAGACATGTGTACCAGTATCACTATGGTTACATTTGAAATAACTTCTTGAATATCTTCTTAAATGAAGTTTAAATTTTCAAAAAAATATCTTTATTTGGGACAATGCAAATTATAACATTTATATAGTAGATCTATTAACAATAATATTTTGTCTCGTTTGATTTACTTCATGACTTGAATAAATGAATTAGAAAAAAAAACGATCAGAATAGTCACTTGTCAAATTTCAAAATATGAACATGACCAGTTTATATCCGTCAAATCAGAAGCTAAGAAGCTTAATCCTATTAAATATCATGTGTGTCATATATGTTTCATTATTGAATTGAAATACTCAAAAAATAAAATTTAATGTTTAAAGAATAAGACAGAAAGAAACAAACCAAAGTTACTGGATACAATTCGAGCGGACACTATTAATTTTCATCACCCGATCATTTTCAACCATATTGCCAGCTTGAATTAAGCGTGAACCACTTCACCTCCTGCCCCTAGGCTTTGATGTCGTCTGACATTAATTACAAATTTATTTCTTGACTTCATTTATTTTACAGGTTACGTCATAAATCTCGAGACAGCACCAGCTGCTGATAGAATGATCACAGTTAAAGCGATTTTAAAACCACTGGCGTCCAACAACGCTAACGCTGTAAATTCCAAACACAACGTTAGTCTGACCGTAACAAGTGGGGGCTCAACTGTTCAACTGGTTGACTCGGAAATAACGATTGCAAATCCAGCTACTGTCACATCGGTTTCTGTAAGTTTTGTGTTTTTTACGTTACTAATGATTTACCATTTTGATCGAATGATTAAAAATAAAAACTGTTATCTTGATGATGTACTGATACCCCGCATATAGCCTCTACAAATATAGCTATCCAGAGATATTTATTTGCTGTGATGTGACGCATATAGCCCTCCAAGAGCCTATATTAAGTACAAGCGAATAAAGCTACTGGGAGCTTTAGCCGTTAACATGCATCGACCTAAAAAGTGATGCCTCGTTTTGACGAATAAAACTTTCCATTATGAAGTTAGTTATCGAAGAATTGAAATAAGTTTTGATATCTTTCCAAATTTGTAGCAATTTGAATAATTGGAACATTAGATCCAAATGACTATGCCTAGCTAGTTGTTTAACAAGTGATGCCTGTAATTGAGGCCATAGCCTAAGATCATTTCATTGATGCTATAACAGGTTCTGATATATGAACTAGACTGAAAGAAATAGCGCAAAAAACTTTGATAGAAGCTGAGCAAGCAGCTTTAACACTTGGTGCTTTCCGTACTGTAGACAATCAAAAATAAAATAAGTAGCGTCAGTCAGTGACCTAGAACAAGAAAGAACATACCTTAAACTTGATCCTATTAGGGTTAATTTGAAGAGATTTAACTGACCGTAAAATCTAACAGATCCATATTGTTACAAAAAGACAACATGTTCCAAACAATCATTTCCAGAGATCTAGGCAAAACTTGCTCAGATATAGTAATTCCAGTCAGACATCAAACAATGCGAACAATAACAAAAATAATAGAAATGAAAACTCCACAAGAAGACAGAATTATAGTCAGTCGGGAAATGCCAACCAATAAATCTGATGGCTCACAAGTCGATACAATCACCAGGGCCGTCAATCCAATCATAAAGTGAAACTGAAATTGACCATGATTGTTTTATAAATTGTCGCATTCAAACTAGAAAAGTTACCACTCTTATTGACACAGACTCCAATGTTACAATATTGAAGACGTCTGAGTTTGAACAGCTATCATCTGACTTTAAACTTCAATTTGAATCTGTAAATATACAACTTGTTACTGCCACAGATGAAATATCACCAATTAATGGCAAGACAAAATTGACGAGAGACATAGGTGGTAAAGTCTTTGACAGACATAAAAAACTGATGTTATACAAACAATGTCGTCACCAAGAAAATAAAAAAATGAATCATTATCATCATCATCATCATAATCACCATCAAAGTCATAACAATTATTACCTCCATGTTATCAAAATCATAACCATGTCTATTATCATCAAAATCATTATCACCTCGATCATCATCATTATTGAGATAATCTTTGGGCGCTATATTCGTTGCAATTGTAGTAAAGTATCGATGAATAAAGCTCCGGATAGCTATATATTCGCTGCGAGCTATATGCGGCGTTACTATGCACAACTTCTTGTCCATTTAATATATGCAGTTAACTTATAAGGTGTTTCCCCTTTTCTGATTTTGCTTTTTTTTTTTTATAAAATATGAATATTTTAGCGGATATGAATATTTTAGCGGGTCTCCAATACATTATGCAATCTTTGAACATAAACTCATTGTTTTTTATTTAGCTGTTATTGTTTATATATTTTTCAAGTTCTGCTTAATGCTTTTATTAATATCGGTTGGGAGTATATTGCGCCAAATCCGCTGAAAATGTCATAATTTTTATTTTCTCATGAACATGTTCAATGAAAGGTGCAGCGGCTTTAAAATTTGCTTATAAACTTTGTGTTTTATTGTGCTTTAAGAATTAGGTATGTCTTTCCACATTAAACATGTAATGATTGATGAAGATTTTTTTTTATAAATCAAGTCAGTTTCGACGAATTGATTAAAAGATCAATCCGCATTTTTTTCTTCACTTTTACAGAACACTACAGCACCTTCTTTTACCATGTCATTTTATGACGGTGCAGATACTGTGTCTGTAACGGGGTCAACAAAGGTCGTGGTTGACATGGTAACTGCTAGAAATATCACCTATGACAAGATGGATATGGAATTCTTGATGCCGGTTGGCACCTTCGGGGAAGACAGTTACACCTATTTCCACGTTTGTCGCGTGGATATTTCTTTCAACGGCAAGAACATGCCATGTATGACACCGGAATGGTATGCCGGAATGATAGAGTATTACTCCCAGTGAGTAAATTATTACATTAAACAAGGTCATTTGGATAAGCCCTTTTTAGATGATTTTTTTTTTGTTTTCTTCAAATACCACGCTATTTGACTCCTGCTTTACTGTATTGACATAAGAATTTTTATCCGCTAATGAACTTTGAAATTAGGGAAATGAACTTTTTGAATTTGGATTTTTATGCGATTGTGACTACATTTGCATATGTTCATTTCTTGGTATTATCATAAATTTGTTTTTATACATGTAGTTGCTATTGCTTCAAAGTGTGAACAGCTCTTTCTGTGTTGATCTTAAACCATTTCCCTGATTTAAAAAAAAACGTTAGCAAAAGTTTCAAAATATGTACTAATCGCATAATGCCGACATCAAGCTAAAGCTGAATGTTTTTTATTGTTTAATTTGCATGTGCTTCTATTTATAGATTGTATGATATATTTTTAGATATGACAATTATGAAATGGATCGGGCAAAGTTGAATATCGGTGGTATGTGTAACCATCAGTTTGTGGACGATGCATTGGAAGATAAAACTTCGTTCGACATATACCTTAAAGTAAGTTAAAAAAGATTCTGCTGCATGAATGTTTATCGTCTTGTCTTAAAAAGTATACACAAGGTCCCAAATATGCATGTTAAATGCTTTTATTTTGATTTCTGAAAAGGTGTTAATTTTGATGTCATATTAATGTTTCCTAAAAGTTATTTGTTGGTCAATTACATGGGCCATCTTTTGCTTCTGTTACCATTGGCAATTATTACAGATATAGAGTTAGTATTTTGTTCTACTTTTTTACATTTGCTACTTTTATGACAAATGATTTCACATTCAGTGCTACTTTCTTCTGGTGATATGCCCTATAACCATTATTTAAAGGATTTAAAATTCATTTTTGTCGTTTCTAAAGAAGGTTTTTTTTTATTCATATTTAGGTTTTATGTGCCTTTCATATCCAGTTACACAAAATCTAGATGCCTGAAAATTCCGCATCAACTCATAGTAGCGTTCTTTATCCTGTTTTTTAATTCATTTCTTTTATATATCAAATTACGTCTAAATGAAGCATTAATTTGTTGAAAAAGGAAATGGAAACATTTTATTTTATTTGTAATGAAAAGAACAACTTATTGTTAATAGAAATAGCGTCACGTTGTTGGCAATGCTACATATCACATTATATTACCATATAATGTTGGTAACGATTTGAGGAAATGTCCTCGTTTGTGCGCAAAGACAAGTTGGCCTGGTCCCCACACTCAAGTTTGTCTACTAAGTGTTATTTTATTACAAAACAAAATCAGAACATGTATGTTTTAATTCCATGTTAAACTTTGTACATTATCTTAGAAAATTTACATTGTTTTACATTTACATTTTCACCTTTTAAACTACATAATTTTTATTTATGATTTGTACAATTAAGGTACTAGACCGTGATGACCTCACACATATGACGTCAAAGATGGTATCAACCGGTCTTCAGTACTCCTCACAGAATCTATGGGTTGGACAGTTGCGATTAAATGTTAGCAGGGGGACAGCTAATGATAATGTTACACCGGTAAACCTTATGATTGTCTTGCTTTTGTTTGTTTGTTAACATTTATCTGATATCAGGTTTTGAAAACCAAATTTCTGGTACAGATGATGGACTTTAGCATGTCGTCTTTAAAGATAAAAAAAAACAAAACGAAACGCTATAGACTATTAATATACATTTTTGTTCAGAATAAATATCAAGCTTGGAATATTTAAATGATTACATTCCGCACGTTGCACTGAAAGTGGGCACATGTGCCTTAAGCATAGCATGTGGGTAAGTTTTCCCAGATAAAATTATTCTAAACCGGTGTTTAAAGATCTAAATAATTACTCAAACATATGTCTTAAATACAAGTAATAGACTGGATTTGATGGTATTTGGTCTCAATTCCGACTTGTACGATTCCTCCGGGATTAAAAATCGCACCAGAACGCTGGCGGTGATTATAACAAGCTTTTCGAACAGTATAGAGTTACGTTAATTGTATATCTGCGCGCGCATTCTTGTACTGTCGTCTGCTTAATGGTAAACTCTGGGAGAAGCACCGCCCATTGTCTTATTAAGCATGACAAGTTAAAAACAGTGCATGACTTTTTGGTATACATACATTCTATATTTAATTCAAATCAATCTCGAAGTAAGATTATGTTGTTAGTTACTTCCGGTTTACTTAAATGTTTGCAATTTGTCTCAACTCTCAAAAATCGTAAACATCATTTGATAAGTTATAATCAATGATAAATAACATACTTTTCATTCTTTTGTTTCTTTTTCTTTTGAAAGTGAGCCTTAATAAATATGAAATGTGGAAGAATATCCCCTTTACAAAATGTTTGTTTACGGATTTCGTTTACTTCTGAATATTTCGTAATTGATATTACTTTTACTATTCAATTTTATTACAGACAAAGTCAACTTATTCAATAGCAACCAGAAACACATCAGTTCCAATACCACTTGGCTTTGCGGTATCATACAGTATGTTGGTAAAAATAGCGAGAGGTGATAGGGCTCACATCCGGGTACGAGCTTCAGCGCAGCAGGAAATAGCGCATATTTGCACCGTTCGTGTAATAAGCGCAGGATCGAACCTACCGTGCGTCGCCGATGAAGTGTTTAAGAAAACTTATACCAATTGGCCGAGCGGAAGTGGCAGGCAGATCGTCGAGCTTGACATGGGCATTGTCAATAATTTTGGTGAGTGGTGATTTTTGTAAACGACTAATTAATGTAATGTTTCCCTTATTTAAAAAAAAAAGTTGAAATATGTTGTTAGCAGACTATCGTTGTTTGCGAGTCGAGTAGAATTAAAACTTGAAAAAGAAATCACACAAAATTAATAAAAAACAACAACAAAAACAACAACAAAAAAACAGCAATATTTTGATTCAAAACCACCTCTGTAACCAAGTAGTAATATGTTAACGCCGCTTTGGAATATGCATTTACCTGTATGAAAATTTAGTGACCCCCTCTGGAACCGCACTTTAGCGTGTTAGCAAAATGTAATATTTAGTCTCTAATTGAAAAATGAAAATTTATAGCGCCAGGTCTCTTCCACATATTCACTTCTGGAAGATGGCACCTTAATTTCGTGGGCACATAATTTTATGGTTTTTGCGGAAAATGTCATTTTTGTGAATTTTTTTATTCACGATTATTAGTCTGTTTTATGAAAAAAAATCGAAAAAAATCAAAAATCATTTTACAAAGACGAATTAAAAATTTGTAGGATCTGAAAATCGTGGATTGACCTATCCACGAAAACTATGTAAATAAGTGTCCCACGAATAATAATGGTTTTGCAGTATATACAAGAACACTTTTGTTACAAGTGGAATTTTCAATGATAATTTAAACTCATAAGTTTGATAAATATTTTTGTAAAGGCTCATCTGCGGAGAACATGACGGCGAATAATTATTTCGACGAGGACTCCATGGTAATTGAGACTCTGGTTCGAGCTAATCCATCGCTACCTGCTGGCACAGCCACTGTTACCATAGAGATATATTATAACACAGATATGACCATGAAGTCGACGTACTCAATGACAGACTTTATTTCTACCGAAAGTACAGCAGGCGTCAGTACGGTAAGATATAACACTGCACGTTTGTAACGTCGCTTTTCATTGGATAATCGTGACCTATATATGCACTTAATTAATACACAGATGCTGTTCACTTTATCAGATAACAGTTTGCTGTAAATTAGATATTATAAAGGCATTTGACAGGTTATATGGCCGGATATAAATGACTGTTTGCAATATAACACTTGCTTAGCGACTCGTATTTTAAATGCAATCAACCGTTTATATAGGACCATATAACCTGTCAAAAATCTCTATAATAGTAATAATATAATTTTATACACTGAATAAAGTTTGTCTTTACGTTTATTAGAACAATATGCTCGAAAAGGTTCTTAATCAACATATACATAAATGAACAAACTACTATATTTGATTATTTAATTTAGATATGCAAAAAACAACGAATGCGTAATACAAGATGCAGTACTTGGTAGAAATACTCTGGTAGGGGTCACGTGCTGTCGGCATATAAACTACCTTGGTTGTTTTACGTTTTTTTCCATATACTCTTTATAATGTAAAGGAAGAGTAATGATAAATGAATTATTTAATTTGATAATGTCTCCTAATGAAACCGGAAAACTGTTGGAATACATGTATCTTTGCAAGATAGCATTATTATCTCATCCCCCACCCCAAAAGGTAAGGGGCGACGTATATGAAAATTTTTATGACAGAAAAAACCCCATATCATTTTGTTCTTTGAATTACAGACGGTAACAGACGCTGTTGAAGTCGCTGCAAGCGTTGGTGAAATCACTGGAAATTTGGATAACACAACCGATATCGCAATAGGAGAGGTGAAACGAGTGCTAATCACTGCTGTTATACCTGAAGGCTCCAGCTACGACCTTGGATTCTCATTTTCAATAACTTCTGCGTTTACGAACAAGCTAGAAATCTGTGACGCGGCGATCGTTTCTGTTGGGGACAATCTTCCGTGTGTAGATGTCTTAACTGAAGCTACAATAACTTCAAGGTAGGGATTGTTGATTTACTTTTGCTTTGTCAATACATGTTGTAGTTCTCAACAACAAAAAGTTCGTAAATCATCGGCATATTTCGTTATTTTCCGTAAGTTGTAAAGATAAAATAAGCATCTGTATGACCACGAAGAACATACAATTTTGTCAATGCAACGCTTTTCAAATTAATATTAGAACATAAATAAATCTGCCTAAATTGGTATGAAACAATCCTAATATTTCAAAAAAAAAAGAAAGAAAGAAGTACTTTGTTATATTAACAAATCGATCTAACAAAAAAGTATAAAAAGAATAAAATACTTATGAAATTGACAAGCATTTGTGAATGGGATTTAAATTCACAACTACCAATTATAGATTCATTTTGTGTTCTATAACTGTCCAGGATGTTAAACTATTCTCTTTTATTTTCTTTTTTAAGTGGCGGCGTGTTCAATGATTCGGCAATGTTTGATCTAGGATTTTTGTGCAGCCGTGTTCTAAGGCCTGGAGACCGGAAAGCCAATACGGTAAGAAATTGTAGGCCATAATAAATTCAACAAAGTTGGCCTTAAGTTTGTCCTATCATTGCATGCACATACGATAACTTTAACTCACAATAGTATAGGAGGTTATTTTCCCCTTGTGACTGTGTGGTTGCTGTTAATGGTTGAGAATTGCAGCCACTGTTTATTCCTTCGTGATCGTAAGAGGCGGCTAAATGGGATTCAATATCTGGTGTCTATGCATCTCTTAGCTCCGGCAGTTGAGGTGGTTTTGCCCCTGAAGTTGCTTTGAGGATTGTTACATCCTAGGTTAGCAAAGTTCATCTTTTATGTAACGACGCCATATGACCAAAACTGTGTAGGTGCGCCGTTATACCAAACAAACAAGGATGCTATTTACATTTGTTTTTATAAAGAAATGGAGGTTCCGTTTTAATATTTATTTATCATAATATAGATACGCAATGTAGCAACGTATATCTTTATGCCATGTATGATAAAAGAAACTACCTTAGAAATGAGAAATAGGTCTTGTTTATAAGACTTCCATTACACTAGAACTGGTTAGTCCAGACAGTTACCTCGGGTGGTTATTTTAGTAAGAATAATAAAAAATTGAACATGTTGAATTGGAAACTGAATTAAATGTTGTGATATGCTTTAGTCAGTGCTAGTGGGCACGAACTGTAGCTTGAAAATTTACCACTGCGGCTATGAACAGGCATAATTCAAATGGCACTGCAGCATTTTCAATATTGCAGTGCTGACCAATCTTTAGATTTTCAGTTGTTTACTTTAATATGGAAGTTTTAACATTGATAAAAGTTTTAAAGCTTAATTGTGTAAAACGCTTATACATGTATATTACTTGAACCCGTCTAGTGCTTGCTTTCTTGTTCTACCCAATAATAGTGTCATATCAGAGACATAGATAACAGTGTTATCTATGTCTCTGTTCATATGTGGGACCAAGGGTGTATTCTCTGCAAGGACCCGAGCCCACCATCCGTTGGTTATGAAGCAAAAAACCTACCTCAACCTCTGAGCCACAGCTCCTATACACAATTGAAAACGATAAATTTATTTAAAAGCCCATTTATGCCCTAAAATTCTTTCAATTTATTTCTCAAAATCTTCTTATTTTTATTATTCTTTTATAGTTTACAGCAAGTTACCCATTCGCCAATTACCTAAACTGTCGCCTCTTCTGTTGCTTTTTGCAATTGACAATTAGTAAATTTATAATGATCAGTATTTTGTATGGAAGACATAATACTGATTTGTTTACATATTACTACTTTTATGACATATTGTTTTACATTTATCGTTATTTTCTTCAGGTAATAAGCATTAAACATGTTCTTAAACTATTATTTTAACGTCATAAATCTCATGTTTGACCTTTCTAAAGAATTTTTTTTTTCATTTCTGAGGCATAATGTGCCTTTAAAGGGACTACACTGAAGTTTAAAAGCCTAAAAACATAACATTTGAATTTCTTACATAAATGAGCTGGGGCACTTAAACAGAAATATATGCAAAGATATTAAAGAAATATACTTTAAAATGAATTGAAAATCGTATTTTTATAATTTTTATAACCCGATTTGAGTGAAAAGCGTTTAAACGCTTTTCATTTGGGTCATTTTATACAATTTGAATAATTATCCTGGAAAAACAAAGTGCACAAATGATCTGAAATTTTGCACAAAGATTAGTGGTCTAAGCCTACATCAAATGGTACATTTATCTTAAAAAAATATTTTCAGTCCCATCAAAAAACCTCATTGGAGTCCCTTTAAAGTTACGGTTTGTCTCGTTTTCAGATTGTCTTTGAAGCGTATGTAAGGCTTTTAGATAATGGTCAGGCTGCAATCGGCGAAACAGTGACAGTCACTACAGCAATGAGAACGTTTTTAAACACAGTTACAATTGACACTGTAGATTTTACTGTGACTGATCCAACGGGGTTTGTTGACAGAGTGTTTGATTCTGTAAGTTTTAACTATTTTACTCTTCATATTGTTAGTGTGCCAATGTCTACAAGATTGGCCGCCTTGGTGAAGTCGCTTTTAATAAATGCATATAGATTTATATTGCCAAGTCGGAGAGGTGGCCTTTGAATGAATTCAATGATTTAAAAACTAAAAAGTGTCAAGTACTCCCCAGGATTATAAAAACATCTTACATAGGATAGAAGAGAATAGATTTTATATTATAACATGATTTTTTGGCTGTATTTAACTCAATACAGTGTTGGTGTAGCACCTCTAGACGCTTGACAGAAATCTTGATCCTAAATTTAAAGAAAAATATCGCTTTTTTCGGCGATTCTTACATTTTTCCATTCATGATTGTACATAAATTGGTATAAGGAAATGAATATGACGTCTAAAAGTGCATTTCGGTCAATGAACAGCCGAGATTCAAGCACCTTGTCCGTTAGATACTGGAATATGGTAATTAGTTAGGTACTCCAACACTTTACTTTAGTCACACTCGTATTTTACACATGTAGGTCATAGATAGTGTTACGAACGAGACTTTGATAAGTCTGGACAAAATCAGCCCACTTCTGATGAATATTGCGGAGAACGTTACCATCAAAGCTAATATTACCGTCCCTAAACTATCTGTATCTAAGTTCCTGCTTGATGTCGATCTACCCGTAGAAGACTCGGCGTGCCTGACAATCTCTGAAATTCGTATCATTGGTAAGTTAAAATTTACTGATACATTCATCGCTTTTTTATGGCGAATTATACAGGCAATGAGATAAATCATACAATAAAACACTCTAGAAAAGATGATATTTTTTCTTGAAAAGGAAGTGAAAATATGATAAAATCACTTCCATCCCTCCGGACAAGTTCCTCAAGTACTACAATACGGAACAAATGACTAAAGATAGCCATACAATTGATATAAGTATAGGATCCAGTACATTGTTTGTTTAGGAAAAATACACATTTTGTTTAGGATCAAGTACACTTTTAGTTAAGGATCCAGTAAACTTTTTGTTAAGGATACAATACACATTTTGTTAAGGATACAATTCACTTTTTGTTAAGGATACAATACACTTTTTGTTCAGGATTCAATACACATTTTTTTGAATACAATACACTTTTTGTTTATAATCCAATACACTTTTTTTTAGGATACAATACACTTTTTTGTTTAGGATACAATTCACTTTGTTTAGGATACAATACACTTTTGTTTAGGATACAATACACGTATTGTTTAGGATACAATACCCTTTTTACACTAGTCAGAAAGCACGTGAAATCAGGAAAACAAGGATTGAGAGCCATAAAAAATAAACACATATACATTGTAGTTGACAATTCCATATATATTTTTTTTGCAAGTAACAATATCAATCACAAAACATAAAGGATCTTTAAGTCACAATGGTATGTAGACAGCTAGATGACACTTAAATTTAATTTTCTTTGAGACTGTATTTAGAGACTCCCTGTCATATGTGACCTTTTTCTGAAGATCCCTTGGAAAGTCACAAATGACAGTCTCGACTGTAGTTGACAATTGCAGGCTCGATTTTATTTAATTCTGTTAATGATAATAAAAAGTGCGACATCTTTCACGTCCCCACCCCCTAGCACTGACCTAAACGGTATTCAATCCTCAGTTCTACAAGTGTTGGAATCAATGATTCCAAAGGACCAATATCTTTTACCCGTAATGAGGAGATTAATCAGAAAATTATCACAAAAGATTTGATTTTTTTCCATAAGATTCCGTTATTCTCTATCCGCAAGAATAAGATTTATGAAAAAGTTCTTTATAATTTAAGTACGTGTACATAATATGTATCATAAGAAATTTAAATTCATCTTAAGACAGGCCATGTTTTTAATTTCGGTTAAACATAAAATTAAAGAGAATTAAAGACATGAATTACTAGCCATATTGAAATTTATCGTAAAATAAACAAAATACAAATACAAAAGAGAAGAGTGTTAGACGGGTCAGTTTGCAAAAGAGTTAATTTATGACATACGTACTTTTCTGTAATTGATTTTTATCGTCTATTTTACCAGACATTTTTTGTCTCATATATAAAAGAAATTGAAATAGAATGATTCGTCATGTATTTACAAAGTCTTGCTTAGTCAACAGTTAGCATTCATTCAATTTATATAATAATATATTATAATTCTTTTAAGACCAACGCAAAGGCATGCACTTTCAAATGTTTTAGCAGAGCATTTACATTTCATTTAGGTTCAGTCGGGCGGAATGTACTGTGTGTTCCACCAGATGTCAATTCTAAAGGCATCATGTATACACCAAATTATAATGCTACAAAGGGAAACGGCCAAAAGAATTATGTTTATGTTGATATTGGGATAGTGACAAACACAGGTATGTTTCCGTTAAATAAATCATTTCTCTTAACTCAGATGTTATGCGCATGCGCAGAAAAGGGTTAAATGTATTGTTCCAATGGATCATAGATAAGAGTATATCTGTTTTAGGAGCTAACGCGGATCTAAAATGGAGGAGGGGCTACGGGGTCATGACTCCCCCTCCTAGTAGGATTTGCATAGTAAATGCCGTCTGAGATTTGGACATCAGCCTACGCTTTTTCAGTAAACACTAAGGAAATCAGGAAAAATTGGACTCATGACCTCCTCTGCTAAAAATGCGACCCCTCTTGTACCCCTTCTAACCATACAATGGTTACAAGAATATAAGGGTTAATCTGGTTAGTTCATGAATAAGGGACTTTTCAAATCAGCTCCAAGTTTTCGTCAATATCAATCATTATTGTTTTATTTTAACTTATTTGTCCTAAATGATAATGAAAAAGTTCATGGTCCAAAGGCGAAAACAGGTAATGGCGCAAATCAGCCGCCATACACAACAGAACATTCGTGGTAGCAGAACATATTTTAGTGCATATAAATAAGCTACAGTGACCTCTAGTCTGGAGATTACTCCAAAAGATGAGCATACCATATTTTTGTTCTTATATGTACAATAAAATGCCAGATTTATGAAAATGTTCAATTTTTATGATTGAAGTCTTATTAGGAATTTATAAAAACATCAATTTTGTTTGTTTTTTTTTCTAAAGAAAATGAAATAAGGAAATATGAAAAAAATAAAAACAATTAAATATAATAAGAAAAGTAGGTAGGTAGGTAGGTAGGTAGGTAGGTAGGTAGGTAGGTAGGTAGGTAGGTAGGTAGGTAGGTAGGTAGGTAGTAGGTAGGTAGGTAAGGTAGGTAGGTAGGTAGGTAGGTAGGTAGGTAGGTAGGTAGGTAGGTAGGTAGGTAGGTAGGTAGGTAGGTAGGTAGGTAGGTAGGTAGGTAGGTAGGTAGGTAGGTAGGTAGGTAGGTAGGTAGGTAGGTAGGTAGGTAGGTAGGTAGGTAGGGTAGGTAGGTAGGTAGGTAGGTAGGTAGGTAGGTAGGTAGGTAGGTAGGTAGGTAGGTAGGTAGGTAGGTAGGTAGGTAGGTAGGTAGGTAGGTAGGTAGGTAGGTAGGTAGGTAGGTAGGTAGGTAGGTAGGTAGGTAGGTAGGTAGGTAGGTAGGTAGGTAGGTAGGTAGGTAGTAGTAGGTAGGTAGTAGGTAGGTAGGTAGGTAGGTAGGTAGGTAGGTAGGTAGGTAGGTAGGTAGGTAGGTAGGTAGGTAGGTAGGTAGGTAGGTAGGTAGGTAGGTAGGTAGGTAGGTAGGTAGGTAGGTAGGTAGGTAGGTAGGTAGGTAGGTAGGTAGGTAGGTAGGTAGGTAGGTAGGTAGGTAGGTAGGTAGGTAGGTAGGTAGGTAGGTAGGTAGGTAGGTAGGTAGGTAGGTAGGTAGGTAGGTTTAGGTAGGTAGGTAGGTAGGTAGGTAGGTAGGTAGGTAGGTAGGTAGGTAGGTAGGTAGGTAGGTAGGTAGGTAGGTAGGTAGGTAGGTAGGTAGGTAGGTAAAGAAATAAAGAAATAAAAAAAGAATACAAATCCGAAGTTAATGATGGATAAAATGAATTTTAGGATTGACCCATCGCCGAAAAACTTTTATGCCGGGTGATGATGACCTTGTCGTGGAATTTGACATCCAGATGGCAGATTGTGCGAGCAGTGACAACGGCAAAATCTATAAGCTTAGTATAGGGAACAAACTTGCTACCGTAATTTTCATTTACGATTTCGACATTCAAGTAGTGAGGGATGGTACCGAGAAACCGGATATCGATTTTATCGTAGGTGTTGGGGCTGCTTCAACCAGGTAATATCTAAGATATCTTAATAGAAATATGAAAATTTATATTTTTGTCGTTATTTCGTTCTTTTGTGTTGTCGCTTCTTCAACTGCGACAGAACGCAGTAACGACATGGCAGAAACCAGCCACCATAGTTATAACTATTGTAGTATAAAACTATTTGGATGGTTCATACATTCAAGTGAACGTTTATAATTTTAATTGACTGTATTCTTTTAAATTTTAACTGCTGATCTTTGAACGGATTATCATGCTTTCTTGGTGACAATTTAGCAATTTATCCTTCCTATAAGTAAATTCACTTATTTGTATTCAAAAGGAAGTCGTTTTTATAAAACAAAAACAATTTGCCCATTATCGGGTCAGGTAAAAATGATTATTTTTCTAAATTGAAAACAATTTTTTAGAACAACCTTTTAAATCATAAATAATCATAAATGATTAACCAATTCCTTAATGTCGTTTTTTTCAGCACCGAAATTATCCTTCAAGGAATTGTTTATCACAATGAATCTTCAACTGCAGAAGGCAAAAACACTAGTTTCTTCCTCTCACTTCCGGTTTACCAGCAGCTGGCTCCCAGCGATCTTACAATAACCAGTAACCAGACATGTAGCGGGGTTTCTTATTCCGACAATACTCCACTATTACATATAAACGTGAGCATGATTTCAAGAAATATGAAATTCTGATGATGCAAAAAATATACTGTTTACAAAGTTCCTTCTTTTACTTTAAAAATACATGCATGTACATATATCTATTGTGATGAAATCTTGCTAAAAACTTGAACCCCTTTAGAGTTTGCCTCCTGGCATTGAACAGCACTGTCATGTCATGACTCAAATAACTCTATGACCAAAGATCTCTGGGTTTTGAGACACACACCTCGGCCGCTAAGCCATATCGCCATTCCCTTTTTTGTTGTTGTGAATTTTTTAAAAAAGGCAGTATTTTCATCAAATTGTGATTAATATGGAGAGGTCATGTCTTGATATTTAAAAGAAACTGCACTTAAAAACTTAAAGATTGTCTATTTTTTTCTTTTATGCGTACTTTTTTTTATTTATTCCCTAACATTATTTTTGAGACAACCTTTTCAACCACTCTTTCAGTGTGATAACTTTTTCTTTACTGACGTATTGACGTTTGAAGCGAGAGTTTTGGTAAACAGTTCGGTCATTTTACCAACTGGATTTAGCGCATCTGATTCTGGGGCACAAGGTTGGGCTATTACCCAATATGTCAGTCGGTATACTACGTACGACGCAGAAGACTGGTTTCCTTACGTCATTTCCGGTGAAATTGAAGTAACGTACAGCGTAGAAGCAGGCATAGCCATGAGTAAGTACGCCAAAATATGATAATATGTATATGGTATTCGTGATTCAAATACTCAGAAAGCGGGTAACTTCATTATCAAATTCTATTTATAGCAAAAATTGACTATAAGTCATAAGTCTTTTTTAATGTTGGATAAAGTCGAGAAAAGTAATATTGGATTTCCTTTATATGTATGTGTAAAATGTACAAAATAAAATCGAACGAATGTGTTTTTTTTTCTTAGAACTGCCTATGGTTATTGTGTATTTATTTTACAGATGATATGATTGCATTTGGACTTAGCAATTCCGCAATTGTGACAGATTGCCAATTTTTAAGTACTATTGGAAACTCCGGGACAGCTTCGAATGCCAGACTAAACAATGCTGGGGGTAAGATAAATGTACTTAGTTTTAAAGCTGAACGTTTCCGGATGAGCGAAATATGATTTAAAATATCCAATAATAGAAGTTAAAATTATTATGTAGATATATTCGCAAATCATATATGTTATATAACGTTTCGAATTTTATCTGCAACTGGATTTACTGTTTCTGTTTCCATACATGTATGTTTATATTGCTAGAAATAGATGAATATGTGCTCTATTTTGTATATTTACTTCACTGTATAGTAATTCATTTGACTTCATAATGTCATTTTCTTGCTAAGATTATAGTTTTATTTCTTTATTGTTCATCTAACAATGTTAATCTTTTAAACACTTTCTAATGTTCATGAAAATAGAGGTACTCCGATAACCGGAAAATATGTTTTTTTCCCATGGGGAAAAGACATTTTTTAAATAGATATACAACATTTATAACAAAATCGTTAGTTATCGCAACATGTTTACCGGAGTGCGCCGCGAAGCTGTAACTGTACAATGGGTTAGTACTCCTGGATAAAAAACCGTATTTTTCACATTAAGTATAACATCTATTAGCATTACTTTGAATACGATTGTACATTTATTAAGGTCATTTTAATATAAGAGAGAAAATCAAATCGATTCAGTTTCTGAATTGATCAACCTTTAACAATATTTCCAGAACCGTATAACATTAAGCTTTTACTGTGATGGAGCCGGAAGTTATAATTCTTTACCATATTTATATAATCATTGTAGCCTGACCAAACTGTTCACTATAGGCTTTCATTAAGTTTTAAGTTCCCAAAATGGTAGTTTAACAAGTTCATTTTTAGAAATTCGGCAGGTTGTTGGTTGAAAAAATGTCCTTATTCTATGATGTGAACGTACTCGGCACGGACAGTGACGAATCATTCAAAATGCTTGCCTTTTTCTATTTAGCTTGGAGTCCAATTGCTCGGGAAAACAAATTTGCGCAAAATCGTTACTTGGTGGTATACCTAGGTACTGAGCATAAGTTCTCAATGATGGCAATACAGCAGAACGAGGGTCATACGGACACCGTCACGGAGGTGACATTGGAGTATACTTTCGATGCACTGTCCTGGTTCGGAATTGAAGTTGTAGGTGTTAAAATGTTTAATATATTTATGTTTACACACGAGCAACTAAGTAACGTATTTTCTAATATCTAAGTGCTGTAATTTTTAGCAGTTTGGAAACGTAAATTTTTATAACTTAATGATATAATTCTTAACAACTTAATAACGTAATATCCATCAACTTAGTTACATACCTTTTACAATGAAGTAACAAAATATATCTTTAAAACAATTATTTGCATATGAACACTTAAATCTTTATGTAACAATTTGTCAAATTTGGCTGAAATTCAACGATTTAAACAGCTCTTTTTCCAACTTCTTCATTCATTTTCATATACTTAAATGCTTAATAACGTAATATCCATCAACTTAGTTACATACCTTTTACAATGAAGTAACAAAATATATCTTTAAAACAATTATTTGCATATGAACACTTAAATCTTTATGTAACAATTTGTAAAATTTGGCTGAAATTCAACGATTTAAACAGCTCTTTTTCCAACTTCTTCATTCATTTTCATATACTTAAATGCTATAAAGTCATATCGTTACTTCTTGTTAAATAGCAAAATTTAGTGATATTATGTTATTATAGTGAAACAGTAATAGACAAGTTTAATGTCACATTCATGCTTTCAATATATTTTTGGTTTTCCTACAGGTATCTCTCGGTGTATCACCGTCTGATTTAGAAAATAAAACATTGACCGGAAGAATTGCACGTGGTGTTAGAATTAGTATAACAGACGACACGTCTAATGGCGTGTTTGCTGACGTAGGAGTCAAGTTTGAGTTTTATGGACAAAAGTTGACGTCAGATGTTACACAACAAGAAGCTTGCGATACTTTAACAGCTAGTCAAAAGCAGTCACCATCTGGTAAGTATGGTGATAGAAGCGTTACCATGGGAACACATTTTAAGTGTTCAATATACTTATTTTAAGCTTTTCGCGATTGATTCTTGTACGACTAACGAAATAATTGACAAAACAGGTAACAATACACGTCAGATTTTTTGTTAAAAGTGAATATTATACGTCTGTCTAAAATGAAAGGTATTTTAGCACAAGAAAGCTATTCATTGATGGATAACCTTTTTAAAAATATAAAGTATTTGAAATTTAGGTCTATATAACTTTTGTATTAGCCTGTGCCCTACTTTTTCGTCCAATGAAAACGCCCAATTTTGACGATTTAACGAACGGTTAAAAAGTTTATGCGAACATACTGCTGATTTAGACTTTTCCATTGAAAACACAACTTTGTGATGTTATCATATCAATTTATAAAACAAATGACAGTTTGAAATATATAGAAACTATTTATTTAATAACAAAAATGGCGGAAAGGTATTGTTGCAATTTTGTTTGCTAAATGGTTGACTTAGAATTACAATTACTGCTATTTTTTTTAAATGAAGGATAAAAATTCAAAGGTATATTTAATGGCTACTTTTATAAATAAGCAAATTGGGCAGATGCATTGCTGATTCTCTTCACGTTTTATTGAAATCATTTAAATCCAGTTATTTTTATATAATACCATTGAGGTAAAGTTACAACAACTTGAACTTTTCTATAGGGAAACGATAAATTGCTACCAGTATATAAAATCGTAAGTGGAATGCCAAATGTCTTGATTCGCGTAGTATATCTAGGCGGATTTTGCAAATTTATGAGAATAATATTTTTGAAAACAAAATATGATAAAAAAAAGAGTAAGGCATAAAACCAATTGCAGATGAACTGGCAATTGTTGTAACAAGACGTTGCAAATTTTAAAGTATTCCATAGAAGATTGTCTAAAGTTTGATTTGAATGTGTATTTTCAGGTTACCCTGCCTTCAAAACGCGAAGTTTTGTTGAGGATCCATTAACAGGAAATGCCTTTGTTTGTGATCGAAAGCTTGGCAGGTATTTAGTTTATACTAATATATTTTAGTTCGATTGTGCGTGAAGCTGTAAGCTTATTGAAACACTTTTGAATCCATTCCTTAAACCAACCAGAACAAAGCATTGATTGTAAAGTTTCTTGCTCAAGGAAACAAAGGCTTGTCCCTGACAGGCTTTGAAACCATGCGGCCGGCAATCTATGGATTTCCAGTCGGACGCGTGTCAGATAATGCATACATGTACATTGTTTTGTTAGATAGAAAAAAAATGTCTGCCTGTACTTTTAACTCAAAAATATAATGCACTATTGTTCAAAAATTGTTATACAATAAAGGTCAAATTTATGGATTATTAGGCCAACGCGTACAATGTTTTCTAAGATAGAATAAAATTGCTACCTGTACTTTTAACTCAAAGATATAATGTACTATTGTCATACATTGTTATACAATAAAGGTCAAAGCTTTAAAAAGCTCTGCTCCCTGGAAAGCGATAACAAATTCAAAACAGCAACCATTTCCAACTTGAAATATTAGTTATTTTGGTAAAACAATCAAAGCTGTTAACCTGTTTTTAAGCCTTATTTACGGTTTGAATCATTGCGGATTTGCTTTTTTTGTGTTTTGCAATTGTTTGTATTTCTTAAAAATAAATAAAATGAGAGACATTTCTGCTTTCAAATTAAGTACATGTAATGTTAATCATACCGTGATACTTACTAAACATAACGTAGATACGTTCGGCCATATTCGTAAATGCTCGTAGCAAATCTATTTTTGAAAAGCGTTCGGATGTCAAGACGTGGATGTTGCTCTTTGATACTAAGAAAAGAAAATAGAAGTACATTTTTTATGTGAAACGTAAAAGAACCCGCCTCAAAACGACAATCTTTAAATATCTAGTGGCTCTGTTTAAGTGACAAAAATATGGTGATTACAAGCCACCGTCCACGCCCCCTAGCACCGACACAGATGTCAACATGTAATAATGAAACTTATGTTTTTATTTGTTATTAAAGATGAAGCATCTTTTCGGACTTCTATGTAGACATTTCTGCGGATGTCTCTCAATTCAAAATTTTACCACGTTTCTTGTTTAAATGTTGAATTCTGCTAAAGCAGCCGGTGCTAAGGGGCATACTATAACTTGGACTTTCCAGTACCGTCCATAAACAGGCTTAATCAAACCGAGCCCTGCAACAATTTTAATTCCGTAATTTTGAGCGTTCTTTAGGGATTCCGTTGTTTTCTCTTTTGTATATGTATCTCATGCCTACTTTTTTATCATTTTTTTTTTTAAATTTCGATGTTAAAAAAAATTACAAGTTTTACAACCCGGTATCAGCTGGACAATGTATATGTTTAAGTGTTGTTTTTTTTTTCTTAGTAAAACAGATGACACTGAGTGCAAGTCGAGTGTTGATGGTACAACATGGTCCAGTAAGTATTGTAGAATAAGATATTAATATTATCTTACTTAACATTACACAAGATTTTCTTACAATTCACAAAGCCTTTAGCGGTTATTATACTAAACCATCATAGAGCACCGCTGATCTTTTTACAACATGGTCCAGTAAGTATTGCAGAATAAGATATTAATATTATCTTATTTTAACATTACTCAAAATTTTCTTACAATTCACAAAGCCTGTAGCGGTTGTCATACTAAACCATCATAGAGCACCGCTGATCTTTTTAACTCCCTCTGATGTTATGTGAAAGTATTGCTGTTATTTGACTCCCTCCGATAATACGTGAAGAAAACCGTTTAAATGGCCCCATGAATCAAATTTTCAAATATTGGACATTTACCGCTATAGTTGATTATAACGTCTATAATGAATTGATGTATGCATATTCAAATTAAAAAAATACAACAACAAGAAATACAATTATTAACTTTTTTATATGATGATAAATTCTTTTCTAGCATGTAAAAATGTTATTTATTTGAATGAACCAGGAAATAATCTACACCTTTTAAATAATGTTAATTAATTTTACGTTAATAATAATAAACAACAATTCACAATGGATTTTGCTCCAATTAATGATCAAATGTTAACATAAACATGTATATACTAACGGCCGTTTCCAATTTAGATTTTGATTTAAAACTAGGCCAAGTATCATGAATGTAATAATGCTATTTTGAATGTATTTCTTGCTGAAGAGTAGTCATTTTGTTTAGAATTCCTCTCAATATATATTTTTTCATTTACCAGGAATGGACAAAAGGGTGGCCTGCATGATAGGTTTCGAACACGCCACTACTCGACTGTACGCGTATGCTCAAAACAGGAGAACCATTATAATGAGTGAAGGGGCTGGCCCGTGGCGTAGTGTGCAATACGACATTTACGCGACAGACTTGGCCAAAACCACGTGGACAAACGCATTAGGCGTCCCGGAAATAATAAGTCTAGAGTTAGACAGAACAACACCACATAGCATGTACAGAATCATTACATGGGGAGGTATACACTTTTGTCTTATATCGTTTCCTACAAATAGATGCATTCACTGCAACACTTTCAATTTTATTCTGAATCTGACTTTCGATGTTGGTCCGCTGCTTTTCAACCTATATTCAATCTGACAATTTCAATTGTAATTACACTCATGTTTGTCCTTACAATGGAATAAGAATTTATTTGTTTCTGATGCATAATGGGCCTTTAAACCTACATGTATTTCTTCTTTTTTTCAGCAACAAAGTACGGCATGTATAAGAACAACGTACAGAAACTGACATGGGCTGACAGTGTATAATGATTTCAGTGTCACTGGTGTATTTATTATTGCAAAGCGATAAATGACGCTTTGTTGAAAGATCGAACAATTCTTGTACCAAATCAATTTTTTCTCTTCATAGAAATATTGACATTGTAGAAATATATTTTTTTGTTTAATTGCCGATCGAAATGTTTCGTTTATATTTGAATTGCATGATCGAACACTTTTTTATATAAAATACAGCGGAATGTGTACAAGCCATTTTAAATTGTACTACTAACATTCATGTGGCTTTTCTATAGTCCGGTAAATATACAAAGCTAATGCTTTGTCATTTTGGACTTGATTACTTAAAAAGGTAGTAACAACAGCAAAATGATTTTCTCTACTTTAGATTATTTGTGTTGCATTTCTGTAGCAATTATATTGTATCATGTTTTGTTAATGATCACATTTTATATTTGTTTACGAACAAATAGTTAATAAAGAAACTTTACGGACGGATGTCTATATATTAATGTTTTAAGTCTCAGGACTATGTTAATTTCCGTACATTATCTGTTTGGTAATAATAAAGAATTGTTTACAAGATAAATATGTATACCATTTATATGAGTCAAATTTCCGTCAACTTTTGTTATCTAAATTTTCAGTCTATTAGTGTTCTGCCCTTTTGTTGTTATACCTTTACGTCATTAAGGAATTCACTTTCTTATTTTAGATTTGTTGCAACCTTTAACATTAGTGTTTAATAAATGTTTTACTCTTGAATTTTAAAGTATTGTGTAGACCTTTGTAATATATTCAATGTTATCAGTTATTTAAACCAGTATTTCATTCAACGAAATTCACAATTTCATTCAGGACTGATCTAATTTTTTTGACGTCATATCGATTTTATCATTTGTGACGTCATTCTAGAAAAGGCAAGTATTTCAGACAAATGCGTTCTAACATTAAATTCAATTATTTATTTCTATGAAAATAATATCTACGTTCAAATTTTTTAGCAATCGTTTATAAATGTAGTAGGCAGTTAACCGAACCTTTCCGAATATTTTATAAACATATACATTATGATTTAAACAACGACCACTAAGGTCTGCTTTAAGTTGATTTTTTTGTTAATTAAGAACCGTATAAAACTGGATATGACTTATTATTACAAATGTTTGAAATGTTTTGAATTTTGGCAGTTCCATAACATGAGCGTAAATTATTATTTTTATTTGTTTTCAAAACTGTTTTTAAGACTTATAAATTCTACTTAGAAATAATTATAGGCAGCTAAATGCAATAGATAACTTCTGTCAGATATAACTCCTGACCAGGTCATTCATGTATCACTTTGATATCGACTACAGCATTGCATAACTATTGTAAGTTGCGTGGACTAATTTTCTGGAATGTCTTATGTCTTTAGTTGAATATATTTTTCTTCTTTGTCTGTCCTTGCAACGTCAGTTAGTCAATTTCCCTATATGAAAAAAAGCAGATTTAGAGCAAAATAACACAGGAAATTATATATTTTTCAAATAATACTTGTCTGTGATATAAATCGTTATCATCTGTTCTTTAGAGATAAATTAGTTTAAATGTAATTTTAACTGAATAAATTTATCCATAGTTACCAATCTTTCTTCTGTGTTATATTTTTACATCGGAAACAAATCTTTGTGTTTATTTAAGATCATCGGTAATTAATTATTAAAAAAAATTACAATGTTGAAAAGGAAAAAGGAAAGCAGCTGTAAATTGTTGCCATGTACTAGGTTCTAGTGATGCAATATTGTTTTGTACCGCTGACGGAAACATTTCGTACCAGATCATTGATTTCCACACTTTTAGTGCCGCTTAAAGCTGTATGCCTGAAGATCGATTCGCTGCCCTCAATCCTTGTTGATCTTGTTTATCATATTTTCAGGAAGAATAAAATATTTAAATAATGATTTACATGTTATATTCGACTGGTTTAGCAATATTTATCATCATATTTCCAACGGCTAACGCATTATGGGCTTTGCTTTTTTGCATATTTTGATCTCTTTTATATTTGGTAATTTAAGAAGATTTCTAGTGCCGTTTTTTGTTATATGTAAGTTATTTTGAAATTCATTGTAAAATTCACAATATTTTACATTAAAATACATTTTGAAAATTTAGCATGAATCTGGAGGCATGTTTCTTTATGTCGGTGCTAGGGGGCTTTGGAGCTGTTACACTTTGCATTCATCATCATTGACAAACTCAGTTTAACCGAGTCTGCAATTTTATGCCATTTTTTTAAGAAACTGCATTTTCTAGAAATACAGTCATCGTGTGTAGCATAAAATAAACAAACGAGAGCCATGATCAAGAAGGCAAAGACAACGGTCACTGGACGCAGCCCTCAACACAATCAAGCTAAAACAGCAGGGCACCCAGAAGAAGGCACCGAGCAAGACTTACACAAATATTAAATGTACCAGAAAGAAACACCATTTACTAAAATATTCACAATTATTGCAATATTCCAAGATACTGTGAGACTTCAAATATCAAACAATGCTCTCCTCAAGCTGAAAAAATGTCCTCTTAGATACGTTTTTACTGGATGGTTTCTTTTCTTGAATATACATTGGAAATGTTATGCCATACTTATAAATCAATTCAATTCAATTCAATTTAATTCTTTTATTCATTGAAAACACATTTTCATATGAATATAAACAGCTTACAAACCAACAAAAACTTCATCAAACATAGGTAATAAATAATTACAAGATTGACACAATTTTAACACTTATAACGAATAATGCTTCATGTAACTGTTGTTATACCATTGTAAAATAGAAAATAACAAAAATTAGAGAATGACTTGTTACCAAAAAAGATCTCATTTAACAACCACTAAAAGGATTTTCTTTCCAAGTAAAGCTAATTTTGCTAATTCACCATCAACATGATCTTTACTGTTCATTAGTTGATTCAACTTCAAGGCATTTGCGTGACAATAATAACATTTTTGGTCTGATTTCTTTAAAAGTACAATTTTTTTTATCAATATATAACGTCAAACACTTTACCGAGATATGTGCCTATGATAATTCCGTAAATTAAAAGTCAATAAGTTGACAGATTTCGTGACTACCTAGAAAGAGAAGTTCACGTTCACACTTTTGTGACAATCTTTGCAGCAATATTGAATTTATCTTCCATTATAATTTTAAGATCGTCTTCAAAATTAGAAAATTATACAGATATTGCTGAATGATTTGCAAATGTATGCATATATATGTTGCGGTATCGGGCCAAGGTAACAAAACCTTTTCTAGGAATGTACAAAAAAAATCATTTAGATAAAGAAAAAAATCCAGTACATTTTAACTAAATAGTGTATATTAAAATTGATCACAAACTTTATTTTCCTCTTAATAGTGCATTTAACACCAAGAATGCTTTCATTTTTATTTGTCAAAACCTTTATATCTTTTGTATCTTATCACAGTTTCCAAATGATTACTCATTAGCCAGAAAGATGAACAATCTGCCTCTTCTTTTGCTTTTTGACAATATGTATAATTATAGTGATTAAGTATTTTGTATTGAAGTAAAAATACTACTTTGTTTACAAATTGATACCTTGACATCACATTACTGCACGTTCAACGCTACTTTCTGCAGTTGTTTCACATCTTAAATGCTGCAAAATTCATGATCACATAATGAAACACAATCAAAATATTATTGTTCACATAATAATTATCTGACCTTTCTAAAAATCTGTCAATTATTGATTTTTGAGGCATAATATGACTTTTAACCTCAAGTTGAAAAATGACACTATACAATAATCTCAATACATCCTCTTGGAGACGACGTAGAAAAACTTATTGTCGGATTTCAAATTTAAATAAAATGACACACAATGTATGGATGCACTATCTAAAAGCTTAACAGTATATTTATGTTATAGCACTCTTATTTTATCTAATAACTTTAGGAAAGGCAATGCTCTACAATGTATCTTAAGTGTGGCTAGAAAATATTGAAGACACACTGAACTGTAAGAAGAAATCAAAATTTCCAGTAACCCTATGAACAATGGCGAAATAAAAGCATGTTCACTACTCTTTACATTTGATAGTTTGGTGGTAATTTAGAGTAAAGGTTTTGTTCATTTCCAAGGTATTCAACATCTGACATGAGTGGCGGCGTGGGCAAGAGGTTAATGCGTTGGACTTGTAATCTAACGATTGTTGGTCGCGTGGGTTCAAAAACATCAGGGTCAACCATTGTTTCCGATAGTACTGGCTAGTTTCAGGAACGGATTCGAGAGTGTTTCAATAAGCTTATAGCTTCAAACACAATCGAACCTAGATAAATTAATATAAACTAACATCTGTCAATCAAATGACGCGAAAAAAGTACTTGCAATTGAAAAGTGTTGGATTCAAATACTCGTACATTTAAGTTCTTTGTTTTGTTTGAAAGTCCTTCACCCTTTACCTCATATATACGTGATTTGATGGCTTTTCGACACCCCCTTTTTTTGGGCCTCAAACAGTGACAATAGGTCCAAAACACTGTTTTTCGGATGAGAAACGTTGATTGAAAAAAGGGACCACTTTTTCGGCGCCCCCATCAAAAAGGTACATCAGGGGGTTGCCCGAAGGGCAATTTGTTTCGGGAATTTGAAGGGGGCCTCATCGCCAAAAAGTTTTTGGACATTTGGACATGTGACAGGCTATAAATGGTCTGAGGTCGATCGTAAGGTAACGTGTAACCAGAGCTGAAAATCCTATTACTCTATCTCAATCCATTGAGAAGTTGCAGCACTTTGAAATCAAAATAGTGATTTTTAACAATATTGCAACTTTCAATGTTGCTTCAGGATCGTAGATCTGTAGAGTGAACAGACGTGTTCTATCTTAATTACATTGTTCTTGTGCAATTGCGTAATCAGAAACCTTTTATAAAACTGATCATGTTTGTCTCTTCTGAAATATTTCATAGTATATGTATATTTAATGTCATAATGCGATTTAATCACCCAAAATCGTGAAAATTTAATCTAGTTTTGAGACTCCATGATTGCATTTTTTTTGACATTGACAATTTTCTTTCGAGGTGAAGAAAGAGTGTGTCCCATCAAACAGCAAAGCATTAAAAAAGCAGCCACTCCCTGTTGAAGAAGTCCATGACAGAAAATTGTATTTGATATAACATGTATGCGTAGCAAATGTTTTATATTTTCCGTAAAATTTAATCTCGTAAATACTAAAAGTATCTTTTTATTCGAAGTTGATCAATATAATTATTTGTTTTCTCTTCATATGATTATTGAATTGTATTTTTTTTTCACTATCACCTGCCACAATGAAATTCATATCATTATTATAGTGTTTTTTTATTCGCAAATCATGACAAATGCATGACTTTGTATTTTTAAAAGACGGTGTACGTATGCCTGTGGGAGTGCAAGTGTGCAAGCGTGTTTGCTTTACCAAGTTAATCTGCCTCAAATTGGTAGTTTTTACCAACAGTCAACGAGCTAACCCTCTTCCAAATGTAAAGGTTATGAATTTTTCATCTATTTGTTAATTCATTATTTCTTTATTTTTCAGATCAGGCGAGTGCAAGTTCAAAATAAGTAGAGTATCTTTTATTCTTTATACATTGTACATGTATGTAGTTATAAGGAAAACTAAAAGTTTTAATTGTAAGGTCATAACTCTTAAAAAAGAGTTGTCTTTGATTATTTTTAATTTTTTAATATTTGTTAAATTGTATAAAATTTCTACATTTATACGTTGTTAAGTTGAACTGGTACTGTACTTGCTAGCATCAAGTACTTTTTGTCAAAGTTTAATGCGTACATATGATAAGTACCCTTTTAACCTTTAAAATGTTGTAACCTGCTAATGAAAGTGTGATTTTTATTACCTTTTATAGTTTTTTTATCATCTCCCAGTAGGTCTAAGATCCATGTGGCAAAACATATATGAAACAAATATGGCGACAATCCAAGGTTATAAAAGTACAAAACTTTCCCTTTGGTAATATACGTTACAGAATAGGCCTAATATTTTTAACATGGTCACTTGCCATAACCAAAATGTTACCCTTAGATACATTTCTTTCATAAATCACTTACTCCCAGCTTTTCTTTGTACACACATAAAGTTATATCATTCGTTTATTTTTTAAATTCACTAAAAATGAATATTTTTTCTCGTATTTGTGCGATAGTACTTTAAGTATGTCCATCTGTTAAAACATGATGATGAAACTTGAATTATATATTTTCATACTTTTCAATATTGTATTACTATAATTAATCTAACTGTCAATTATGTGTGACGAAAAACAAAACGTTCCAAAACAGCTTGATATTCATCTTCTGACTTGTCACAACAAATATATCTTTATTTATGTATATTTATAGTATTAATCCATCAGCCATTTTCAAAACTAAGCCCGTAGGAGTATTTATTTGTTTCAACTACTACCCTTTTAAGACAAATCATAATTACACCTTCCGAAACTATGTGATTCATTGTACATGTATATGTATATACAAGTTCATAATATGCCCTATGTCACATATGTAGTAATAATGTTTTCTCTTCTTTTCTTGTTTTAGAAAGTTTTC